TTAAAGCAGCTTTAACTATTTTTATAGGATAGTGTGTTTGGTTTGGAAAGTATGGTTGCTTCTAGAGCTGGTAGGTATATGCTCGCAGCTTTGTCATTGCAATGTACGCATGCAGCAACATCGCAGGATATGCAATGTCAAGTAAGGCAGTTTAATTAAAATACGTCATGTCACTTTAATTTGCTGGTGTTTACAAAAGTGCAACTCGCACAGCTGTAATTTTTCATGACTAATCTACAAGATGAAGTGTGTCTGATACAACATATTTACTCTTCTTTTAAGTGTGGCCACGCAACAAGCAAAGCAGGCCAAACTGCAGTCGGTTGTACAACAGCTCTTTAACATGTTTTTCAAGTGAATTCATGAGGGCCATCCAGTCAGGGGGGTGAAACCATGGCAACCTCTGCATAGGGTGCAAAACCTATATTTATTACGTGTATTGAAGTGAGACAGGACCTATTACACCGACACACACATGCCAGCATGTGATCGCAGGAATTAAATCCTGTAAATCTTAATTGGGGTCTGTCAAGGTTGGGTTTGGGACAACATAGGATTGTATTGCAGGCCAGGATAAAGGATGTTCACTGAAAAGGGATCCAAAAATTGTGAATTGGAATTATTTAGGCCAGGAAGATCATGACATGAATTTGCACATCCTCTCATGGCGCCAATATGCTGAGTGCATTACTATCAACATTACAACTTTCAATTGAGATGTTCGTCTATAAAAGAGTAGCTCTTAAAATTGATTTCCAATACTTCCTGTTCCTTATCTAACCGTATGTAGCACTGTCAATTATAGCCTGTCTAGATCTTTGGAGCATAATACGATTAACAAAACACTTAATTATTGAAAACTGTCATGTACAGCAGAAACATGGGTGTGTCCCCCGTGTACTCTGTGCTAAATGATGCGGAGGTAGCTTTGATGGAAGGTTACAGAGCATATTGATTTTCACCAGAAAAACTCCTTCACACTCCTCCTTCACTAAACAGCTTAACCTGCTCAGCGAGCCACAGAAGAGCTGAACTCTAAAGAAATGAATATATTTACATTTAACTTCTAACATAAAAATAACTATTTAACAGCTTCAATGGTCATCGAACTCCAAAACAATTGTTTAAATCTGATTTATGTGATATGTTTTGTGAATAATAAGGGCACGAGGCGAAAGGTCAAACAGTGAGTCCCACAGATTATTGGCTTCTGTCACTGAGGAACAACTACACAACAAACAGAACATTTGATATCTTGTATGGGACAGACACACATACAGCTCACTCTGCTCCAGCAAGAGAAAATAGTCTTCTAAGGTTTACTGCATTTTCTACCCATGCTTCCAGTGTGTTAGCAGCGACTCACACGTGCACAGACACATGAGTGCTGACACACCCTCCACATTTTGGTAGCATCTACCTAGAGCATGACAAGGCAACTTTGAGTCAGGCACACCCAGATTGGTTTGTCTTAACACCAAGTTCTAGAAACATCCACGCAAGCTACAAACAATACAACGAGTGAAGGAGCGACGTTTATGTAGAATAAAATGTGCATGTGTTGTGTACGTTTGGAGGTTTTTATTTATTCTTTATAGTGACTAGCCCAGGGTCTGTAGATAAAAATAAAAGGTAGCTTTGTAATAGCTTCTTTTCAAACAACCAACGAGAATTACAAGTAAAAGAAACAATGACATTTCATTTCGAAAGCATTGTACATTTTGTACATTACACTTAGAAAGGTGACATGTTGTACATGGTGTAGAAATGCGTACAAATGGCTCTGCACTGATTTGTTTTTTTCTTCTTGTAAAATTCACTGAGCAGAATCTACCAGTTTGGACAGGTTGATGAGGCAGCGTTGAGACAGGCCAGGTAAAGATATGCCAAAACACATTAGAAGTGCAACTATATGCAAATTGGCAAGCTATAAAAACTACTACTACTAATTGAATATAGAGATCAGTATTGCTTTCATTTTGTATCCATTTCTGAGTTCAGTTTTTGTTATTGTTCATCTTGAATCAATCTGCTTATTTAGAAAAGTATGTACGATATACATATTGCTGTCGGTATATTGGCATTGTAAAAACGCTAATCCTTACATGCCTTGAAAACGTCGATAAACAGCACAGAAAAAGAAAAAGACTACAACGATCTCAATTACTACATTCACCAACATTATAACTTGTTTTTTCATACAGAAAAGTCTAGAAAAAAGCTTATAAAAAGACAATGATATTGGTGAATGGGTTGAAATAGGCTAGTTTAAATAAAATAAGTAATGACGAACAACATATTTAGTGCCAGCTATCAGGCTTCACTACCAAGGTTCAAGGTTCTTTATTGTCAAACTAACATAGCTACAGAGTCATTATGTCGTTGAAAATCTTATGTCACAGGCTTCTCCAACAATGCAACATAATAATACAGATAGTAAAAGTAATACAAAAAGAAAAATAGTTCTAAAATAAAGTGAGTATGTGGAATAGTGCAGTACGAGTCTATATACAAGTTATTGGAATGATATATATTAGATAGTAGATATATATTACGAAGTAGCAGATGAATGTTTTGAAATTGTTTCAGCAGTTCAATTGTTTAACAGTCTCACTGCCCGCGGGAAGAAACTGTCTCCGAATCTTTTTGTTTTTGCCAGGATGCTTACCAAGGCTTGATACCCACAGAAAAACTTCAATCACAACACTGTTAACAAGATAATAATTGAGAGATGACAATGTAACTTATTCACTACATGTCATTATACACATTCACCATGTCTGTAGATGAGGTGTAGGTGATATTATCAGACTCTTCGTGTTGGATAACTTCTTACTATGATTGCATTACCTACAGCTAGCACAGTTAGCATACAGCAGAGGTGCTGTTCAGGAAGCTCAGTGTCAAACTGGGTCAGCAGTCGACTGAGATCATGCTACAACCTGTTATTACTTAAAGAATTAACATTGCTTTACACCAGGGGTGCCCAATACCTCGATCGCGATCGACCGGTCGATCACGATCGACCGGTCGATCACGATCGCAAAGGTAGTGTGGGTAGATCGCATGGCATTGAAAAAAAATATTTTCTAACACGCAGTTCACCGCGCCAGCTGCAAATCACCGGCCGAGCTGATTACCTAGTTAGCCTTCCAATCTATACAATTCTACTAAAGAAAGGGTATAAGGGGGGCCTCACCTCCTCATCTGAAGCGCAAATGCGGCACAATAAGTGTCAGCGCGCCACAGTTTCTCCGCCGCTCCGAGGTTCTGGTGCTCGCAGTCCACTAGCACCCCCCCCCGCATGTGACACACAGGGCCTCACCACATGACTTTGGGCAGGGGCGGCCCTGTAGGTAGATCACTTTGACTTGGTCATTTGAAAAGTAGCTCCCAAGCTGAAAAAGTGTGGGCACCCCTTCTTTACACTGTGTTGCCTATGAGAACACTGTGATGTATATTCACTCAATTCACCACTTTATCTACATAATATTCAACACCCGTCATGATATACAACTCTTTTAATCTGCAACTACACTTGTAAACAAAGGGACAAAAGGACGCCCTTAAGGCAGCCAGATTTGCCCATATTTACTGCTCTTAGTAAGAGGGCATCTGAGTTTTCCAACAATATCTCACACATCATGGCAAAATAAGGGCGGTTGTATCAGGCCGACAAACCAGAGTTAACTTTGCACTGACTGGAGGAAACACAAGCCCAGAGACACCGTAGTGACACAACCTCTGCCCAACCAACTCTGAGCTTCTCTTGCTCGGCCCTCCATCTTTAACTATTTCTTAAGAGAATAATCAACATTCTATGACAAAACACTGCAGGTTCAGTCCCTAGCAGCAAGAGTTAGTGACCCCAGGGAGTTATCCGAATGAAAAGATTGCCTCCTAGCTGCATCTGCTTCCTGATCCCTTACGTCAACTTTGTCTTATTATTATATGAAGAAAAGTCTGCGTTCGGACAAGCACAGTCACCCATCAGGGTCATACCAAGACACAACTGTGGAGAGTGTTAAGCCCCAAGGTTTGCCTGCCTGCGAAAGAGTGAGAGGAGAGGCAACGGCTAAGATGCTTACTGTAGCATGATATTAAAAGTGCTATATTGAAAATTCTCTATGAGTTATGAAATAAGATAATGTTTTATACCAAAAATGTGTAAAAGGCTTTTCTATTAGTCTCATTGTTCTGGCTTGGGCTGCATCCAATATGCTGAGTGCATTACAACTTTCAATTGAGATGTTCGTCTATAAAAGAGTAGCTCTTAAAATTGATTTCCAATACTTCCTGTTCCTTATCTAACCGTATGTAGCACTGTCAATTATAGCCTGTCTAGATCTTTGGAGCATAATACGATTAACAAAACACTTAATTATTGAAAACTGTCATGTACAGCAGAAACATGGGTGTGTCCCCCGTGTACTCTGTGCTAAATGATGCGGAGGTAGCTTTGATGAAAGGTTACAGAGCATATTGATTTTCAGCTAAGGAAAGAGACGTTAACCTCCCTGCAGGTGAACTGAAGCTTAATTTCAAATAAATGAATCAACTAAACACAATAAATCAATCAGCAATTTTTATATATTTGTACTGGAGTCATCTTTTCAGTAATTTTTTAAACAAGAAAACAAAAATATCGCCTTGTTTTTACTTCTCAAGGTGAGGTTTAGCAGCTTTTTTGTCTCATGCGATAAGTTTAACACTGATGGTCGGACAAAACCAACAATTTAAAGACATGTTGTGGGGCGTAGAGGCAATCCTTACTATTTTCTGACACTTGATAGACCAAACAATTAGTCAAAACAATAATCCGCTGATTAATTGATAAGGATATGATCATAAGTTGCAGCACTGAAGTGAACAAAGCTTTTCCACACAAAGTTTACTTTACTTTGTCAGAAGCAGAACTAGAGGAATACAACCCAACAATCCAAAATGTTCAGTATATCCAAAATATACACAGAGAGGATAAATATAGCTAGAAAACTTACCAGGCGGTTTTCGTCAAACACCTCCAGCAGCAGACGATGCTTCCTGGGATCAACCTGAAACATAATATAGACTGTTTGTATTTAAGATATAAAGACATCATGGTTAGATACAATATCATATACAATACATTTATATAGTTTCCTGTAATGAAATGCCACAATATATCTCCTGGCAAATTTTTTGACATGCATACATATTTTTTAAGTTTCTCTTACTTCGAAAAAGAATTCTTCATTCCATTTTGGGTCCAGTGTCTTCATGTGATGTGTGATGGAAAGGATAATAAAATGTAAATTAGATAGGATTTAACTAATAAAACAAGTCTTACTGCAAATGTGAACTTCTTACCTTTTTTAATGTTTTAGTCTGAAGACTTGTGATTTCTCCATTAATTGGGTCATACAGGGACAGTCTAGTATACGGATCACTGCAAGAGAAACACATTTAGACTCAGGTGTGGCGTTGACATTAATCATCTGTAGAAATGGCCATGGTCTACTTTGTGCTCTTTATGTGGTGAGAGTGGTTCATATGAGGTTACTTAACATTTAAGGGAGGTCAAACATTAACATAATGATTGCAGCTTCTCTATGATGGATGCAAAATTGACTGTAATTGTTACTTTATGACAGTTTGAGACACTGTGACGTGCGTTAAAACCACACACATCAATAACTTCACATTATCCATTACCTAATCTTTAAGCCACTTTAGTCCTGCAGCAGTGTTGTGGCATTAGTGATATACTAAGGGACTGCTGTCACATTAAAGTGATGCTAATATGGCAATTTGGGTTATTTAAAGCATTAAAACATGTTTTGAATTATTAAGCATTAAAGCATGACATCCACATTTCGAAAACTTTAAAATTGGAAAAGAGATTTCAATCTGTTTAATAAAGATTTAACACATTCTTAAGTTAATTGGATGTCACTGTCAGATTGCTTTTAGAGGTTAGGAATACGTTATCATTTAAAGTAGTCTACAAGTAGCACACAAAAACACGAAGTGTCAAGGCCGTAAACATTAGGAAATGAAATTAAGTCAACACATTACATTTGGAGAACTGTTTTTTTGTTGAGTCCCTGGAAACATATCACCTAACCAAATCAAAACAAATGTACTAAACTTCAAGAGCTAGGGGTTAATCCCACATACATTACAAGAGGATTTTCTTTCCTTTTGATACCAAATGCTTGTTGTGAAAACTGCATAAATGTGTTTTGAGCCTTTAGAGTGCCAACTGCTCTGAGCCTTGGCAGTGCAGATCTTTATTACGGGAACACAACATGTAATCTTTTCTAAATCAATGTTCACGCCTACTAGCCTCATATCAAACCCGCAATTCTATAAAAAATACTTTGTTCTTACAGTCAAATAGGAAGGTGCTGGAAGTCAACATTTTGAAAGGGAAGAAAAGAAAAGTGAGAAAAGAAATAAATAACTAAGCAAGGCATGAAAGAAAAGTTATACAAAGGGACAAACCTGTATAGATTAGCTTGAGAGGGGGACTAAAAGAGGATGAGGGAATAAGTATTTAGTTCATTTGAAAGCTGAAGTAATTCAGGAAGGGGTCTACATACCTACGTTTTCAATATTTAGACATAACATAATGCCCCTCAGCTACTGAGCGAGTATCATCTCTACATTTGACTATACAGTAACTGCTCTTCTGGTCAAAGAAGAAGTGAAGGACAGTGTGGAGGGGTTTTATTGGAGTCATGCGCACGTCCTTGTCTCAAGTGGTACCAAAAAGAGCAACCACAGAAATGGGTTATTGATCCAAATTGAGGTTTTGGGAAAATGTCCCTCTAGTATATCCTACGTTAAATAAAAATGGAACCAGATATAATAAACACCAATAAGCAAAATCTACCTACAAATCAAGTAACCTGAACATAAACCACGTTTTTATTGAATCTTGCGTTCTAAAAATATACACCACATTACTTTGGGTTTTAATAGGATTTTGCAGATAATAGAGGAACACAAACGGATCCATGGTTAACTGGCAGATGGCTCTGACGTACGTGTGCTGCTTGTTCGTGGAAAAGACATTAGTCGTCACCTTCCTGTCTCTCCACACAATGGTTAAGAGGATTGCAATTTTGGCCAAGTCTGACAGTCCATCTTTACTAACAAGCTGGATGAATAACGTAGTAAACCGAAGGGAAAGGCAACGACACATGCACAGTAGAACTATGACTTTAATTTTATAGTAACTGAAATAGAAAGCATCACATACAAGTGATTTCATATTAATTTAAGTTACCTTTGGTTCCAGTTTATCAAGTAAGGGGATTGGTTTGTTTTTGTCTCGAACTAATCAGTGTAAATTATATATATTTGGGCTTTGAGCTGTTGACTGAAAAATACAAGCTATTATAAGACGCTATATTGGGGTCAAGGAAATTGTGACAGATAATTTCACTTTTTCCAACAGAAAACAATAAAAAAATAATATTTAGTAATGTATTGATGCATTTACAGTTTAACTTCTAAATTGTGAGTATTTGCTGCTTTTGTAACTGGTTTTTAGGACTGTTGATCAGTTTCTTAGCTGCTATAATGTCAAACCTGTTTATAGAAAAAGAATTGCCTGGTTAATTGCTTATCATAATAAAAGTTCCAGCCTATTTCACAAGTTATACATCACATTTAAGTGTCCATTTTCTACAGCTTACCTGGCTCCAAGTATATCTTTTTTGGCCAGCCCAATTCCAGCAACTACTTTCACTTTTAGGACTCTGGATTCTCCCTGAAATAACAACAAAAAAAAACACTGATGAGTTTATGAATATTATAATGACATAAAGACAGAGATGAACACAGAGTACAGTCACACAACATTCACAAAACAAACAACATAAAGACACTCAAATAGGGTAGTTGTACATGTTTTAACTATTAGTTATATGTATAACTAATAGTTAAAACATGTACAACTTTGTGCTTTGATAACACTATATTGCCAATATAGTGTTATCAAAGCTGATAAAGGTGCAGCTAGTTTTAATTACTCTGTATGCTGCAGGTTAGCTTGTGAATTGTACTCCGGGTGCAAGTAAAGTCTTACTTAAGTGTTGTTTATTTCACATCATTAAACTACATCTGCAAAGTAATTAAAGGCATTAAATAAATGTAGTGGAGTAAAAGTTCACGATTTACCTCTGAATTGTAATGGAGAAGTATAGTATCAAATAATTCCCTCAGAATTGTACTTAAAGTAATGTACTTGAGTAAATCTACTTAGTTACTTTACACTACTGAATACAAGGAATGGCAAGGTACAGGATGATCAAATAAATGGTAGTAAACAAAATGAGATTAATGTGATTCACTATCACGTGAAGCATTCACATCCCCAGAACAATCAAGGTTTACGGGATGACGTAACATCCTGATAAGAAATGTCTCATTTACCAACACAATAAAAGCGTTTTACTGTACACTTGGTGAATCATCTTGAGATTTCGCAATCATAACACTGAACAAAAATTGGTGAAAGTTGTGCGAATATGTTTGTTTTATCGAGATAATTCAGAGTTTGTCAGTTGTGTGTGTGTGGTAGGAATGGAGAGGCGTTAACAGCCCAAGAGCCTGTTGTGTTTCCTGGCAGAAAAAGTGTACAGCTAGGGCGCTCTTATTTGATAGCATTAGCTGAGAACTAAATCTGATGAATAACATCAACAAGTAATACAGGTTTCCCACCAAAACACTCCTAACATCGCAAGTTAACCAGTGGACGTAGGTACGTTAACGTCAGTTAGCTCGCTAGTTAATCTCCACCAGTGTTTAGTTAGTTAGCTCCTTGTTAGCCTCAACTAGTTAGCCAGCTGGCTGACGATGTGGTCACATGAACAGGCTCTTTATTAAAGGCTGGTAAATGTAGTTTACCTCATCTATGTGAAGTCCTCGCATCTGTGGAGAAAGTGCAGCCATACTATCCTCGCCCTTCTTCCTCCAAGGGAGCGACAACAACAAGAAGAGGAACCCAGAAAAAGACAGTTGTCCGGTAACGTTAGACTCCCGTGGTGTTTAGCTCGCCTCTGTTATGCCCTCTGTGTGTTTACGCTGGTAGATACCGTGAACCTGACCAAGTAGCAATCTGTGACACCGTCGTCACTCACTGTATCCATCCTCCTCCTTTTCCTCCTGTGTTTCCTCCTTCCTCCTCTTGTTCCCTTCTTCCTGTCACTGCTACAGTCTGAGAAAACCCAGAAAGGACACTGAACGCAACATCAGTCTTTCCTTGAATATATTTTTGACACTCGTGGTGCAAGATAGGAGTGCGCAGATCGTACTTAACGTACTAAATTAAACTAGAAACACTATAGTCTAAGAAATAGTAAATTACAAGTCAAAATACAAAATGTTATTTGAATAAAACCACAGCAGTTCTATAATCAAAGTTTAGCATACAGTGGTGTATGTATTGAAGTACATTTACTCAAGTATTGTACTTTAGTATGATTTTGGGTTACTTGTTGTACTTTACTTGAGTATTTCTATTTTATGCTACTTTACATTTCTACTCAACTGCATTTTATAAGGAAATATTGTACTTTTATTTGACAAAATGAGTTACTACTTTACAGATTCAGATTATTAAGATTGTTCATACAAATATATAAATAAACTATGATATAAAAGTATAGGTTAAGATATTCAGCGGTAGTATAACGTTATTTAAATTAGCTCCACGTTTACAAGCTGTGATGAACACATTAATGCATCAATAATCATCATCCAGTGACTTAATATATAGGATTCTGAATTGAGCTACAACACTCAATACGTACTTTTACTTAATGTCCTTCAAGTATATTTTGATGCAGATACTTTTGTACTTTTACTTAAGTAATATTTTAATGCATGACTTTAAATGAAGTATGTTTACACTATAGTTCTACTTTTTCTACGCCTGATGGCAGAGAATGGGTGGGGTCATTGTAGATAGATTGCATTTTTTGGGATTGATAGAATGTTCTTTATTAGTATTATTATTAATTTACATTATTCTGTTTTTATCAAATGCTTGTAAGAGTATATATTGTGTATTATTATAATATGACTATATACAGTATGTAGCTAGATTCAAGAAACTAGCAGATAATACTTTCAAACCATGTCTGCTTAGGGTTTGTATCACAGTTTAGATCCTGAAATTGGACGCAATAGAGCGGCTTACTCCCAAATACAAAATACAACTTTTCTAGTTCCTGAAAGGGGATTTCCTACGGCAACTGAATGTACTGAAATGCAACTGAAAGCACTGATTGCATGGAAGTTCAAACCTCAGAGTAAAAACAAGTCTCAATAATAATCATGTAGCAGCTACTGGAACCGATTGTGTACAGCCATAGTTTTGGCGTGTATACAAGAGCTCTGGAGAAACATAAACCGTACATGGTCACAAAAAGACAGAGATGTCATCAATCAAACAGTTTTTCTCGGACGAAGCATGGAGCTGGTGTTCAGTACTGTTGCACAAACAACAAAGCAGTTAAAGTTACTTAAGTGCCCCACAGCTACAGGCTAGTTCTGGTTTGCAGAACAAGTTTATATGTTGTAACAGCTCCTCACACAGCAAAACTACACATTTCAATTAGACATCTTCAGTTTATAAAACTCGTTTGGTCAAACTTGACCAGCTATCAAAGGTAGGTGCTGATGATGTTATAATAGCATTCATTCATATAATCCTTAAAGTTTATATTATATTTTAAAGGAATTTTATTAGTGTCTTTACATTGTTTTTTTTAATTTAAGTATAGATCTGAGTATCGTTATTGCCTTATCTCTGTCAGAGCACTGCTTTCACACCATCAAACTTGACAACACTCCTGATGGTGCTGTCACAAAAATGTAGCACCCATATTAACACATTGAGTAAAGCAAAAACCTTCCGAAGGACGAAATCTAGAGCTTTCATTTTTGCTGTATGGTTTTGGAGTGCTCCCTTACATTTTTACAAGAGAATATATCCTAAATCAAAATGTAGACATTCTAAACCTTTATTTAGCTATTAGTGTTATTTCGTTTTTGAAAATAAAACGAAACAGGGCCAATTTAATGGTTTTATTTCAAGATTCCTCCTTGTTCTGATGTTGTTTTCTCTCAGTAATAATAGCGTGCGCTTTGTCCTCCATGACCCTCTTCACCCCCCATGGTGTGTGTGGGTGTGTGATGTATGGTATGTTTGTATGTGTGTGTGTGTGTGTGTGTGTGTGCAATGGCATAAAGGTTAATGATTGCTGGTCTCTTTCTCTGAACCAAAAGGACAATACTGAATACGGAAGTGATTCACAGTCTTCTTTACTGCAGTAGTAACACCTCAAGTCAATAAGGAAATTACTATAAATACAATTTGCCTCCTTTTTTGTAAAGGTGTTTTGTAAAGTCTCATATCAACAAATGCCTTCTTCTTACTAAAGTAACCTTTGGTGTGACATTTCAAAAATAAGAAGCATATAATCACTATACAGGCAGCTCCTAGTCTCCTGCAGATCCTTGTTTTTTTGTAAATATTAAAGAAACACTGACTCTGGTTACCTATGTACATAAAAATGTTTATTAGTTTTAAGAAAGTCTTTAAAAACCAGTATTAACAAGCACTTCCCCTTATAAAAGCACTAGCTAAAATGCAAAACATAACAGCAGAGGGCAGTACTACAGCTCTGAACAATGAGAGGAAGGGTAAAGTCTTCTTAAACACAAACATCAGTGCTAACCAAGTAAATGCTTTGTTTGCTTTCACAGACACAGTAAGAGAAACTATAGCATAAATAAACAAAAAGGTTTGTCTAATTTGCTCAATATTAAATTATAATCAAATTGAGATTATATATTACAATAATATAATTCTCTTTTACAGATATTTAAAGGTTTTATATACTGTATGCATAACGAATGTTCAATTCAAAGCACTGAAAGAGATTCAATGTACCGCGTTTGAACTATATCATGACATTAATATTTAACCATATAAGTATGGGTAGTTATATTTACACATTTTAAAACGTGTGTGCAAATAATAATTTCCTGCAAAATCTAGTCCTGAAAGGTTTTGAATCTCAAGTTTTTTCTCATTTTTTTTTTACCACATTAGACAAATCATCTGTTAAAACGAAGTACCATATATGATACGTGGTAATATGCTATGATAACAGTGCAAGTCAGATTATCGTGAATTCACAAGATTATATGGTTTGCAAGGTTACATCTTCTGTACAAAAACACACTCTAAATGAAATATTAAAAACAAAAACAAAGTCACACCCTCAATCTGTACAACAAATAAAGTTAGTGTGACCAACAATATAAACACACCCTAACACAAACAAACTGAATAAATAACAGTGATTTTTGCCTCCATAAAAACATATTAAACCTGTTGCGTTAACAAAAGCATCAGCAATAGTAAACAAAGAAATCTTTAACATTGTCCTGATGTACTAATTATATAAAGAAATGTATTCCAGTGCTGCAAATGTCACAAATGTTTCACTTATTTTCCATATTATTATTCACATTACAGAATATATTTCTCATGGCTGTTATCGAACATAACCCAGTGAGTCACCCAAGATTTAAGTGCATGTTATTGCGGTTTAAATTTTAAGGTTAGTCTTTGGTATGGACATAAGGCTCAGAAACTCTCTTCTTCACACACAGCTCATCACCAGTGTAAATCACGACTTTCACACTCAGTCAGTTTTTAGCTGTTTTGACGTTTTGTTTGAAATCCTCAGGCCATGTGGTGAAACATGTTCTCCCCCAAACCAAACACAGTGCATTGATGTAAAGAAATACGTTTTACAGATTGTCAGAGCAGAGTGATGAGTGCTACGTTAGAAAGTACATTTCTGTAAGTTCTTTAGAGTTCAATTCTGTGAAATCTTATCTATCTACTGTCCATTTTATTATTTGTAGACAAAATCTTAAACTTCTACCCCAAAAGAGTACACAAGGCAAATAACGCATCTTTTGATTAACACAAGAATCTTATTTTAAAAGTGCTGTTTAATTTTTAGGTAAAAGGTTTCCTTTTTGAAATTCTTGCCCTTTGTATCTATACGTGGTTAGGAATCTAGACCTGATCTTTCACTGGTTGTTTCCTTAGTAAATGTTCTGATTTTACTTTTATAAAAACAATTTCTTTATTTTTTCAAGCTTTTGAAATACAAAACAAAGTGCAAAAGAGGCCTTACAAGCTTTCCGAGCTTGAAATTAAATTGAGGTTTGATTCTGGTGATAACTATGGGGAGGTTGACTTAGCTTTTTAAATCAATTGATTCATTCTGAGAGGCACAACGTCGTTGATGATAGTCATCCACAGGGATATGAAAACCAGATTAAATTAAAGTTAACACATTTCTCTCTTCCTTTTATGGTTCTGAAACTACCAAAGTAATAATACATACTCTTCATGTAATCCATCAAAGTAAATAATTAGCGATATGATCATATAAATAACTTAAACATTCAGAATGTATTTATTACTCTCCATGCCAAATCTAGCAGATCATTAGAATATATTAAAGGGATCATTTTGGTTAAAATGTGTTCTATAAACCGAGTGTTCCCTTCTTAATGTTAGTATATTTTGCAGCTAAGGAAACGTTTAATTGAACCATATGACACCTAAAGCTCCTGCATAGATAACGTTTTTTTGGCAAATCAAAATTGCACACAAATGTTTCAATGAGGACATATTTGTTCAGCATTATATTTAAATATTTTGTACGTTATGCTTTAGTAACGTAGTGCGTGGAGTCTTAAAGATTTATAAACAATTATTTAAAGAAATATTTTTTGTAAATAATAACAATAATAGTCGTACAACCACATTTCTTTACATCAAGAAATTAATTCCTGTTTTTTTCATTAGCTTTTCAGTAAAATGCAACATATAAAAAAAAAAAAACCTTTCTTGTTCAATATCCTTTGTTTACTTGTTGGAAATGCTCTTAATTAAACAAGGTGAGGCGTTGTCCTCTGAATAAAGGGAAATGACCAGCATTTTTCAGAGTGTTGCAGCATCATAGCAGTTCAGCCTGGCACTTGGACTGGACATACCTTGATTGGGTCCAGTGTTGCATTATAAAGTGTAAATGCCTGAAAATAAATAAAAAAATTAACGACCATGGGTTGACATGTTCAACATGACGTAAAAAAAAAACCTCAACCCATCAACCCTACAGTTGGTTGATCTTTGCTTTCAAGCCAGTCGAGTCCATTCGAATGTGCCGTGTCGCTGGTAATTTGCTGAAACAGCGCATCATTCACCAGCTCCTCCTCTGCAGCAGCATTTTGATATTGCCCTTGCTGCTGGTTGGGGTCAAACAGAAGCTCTGTGTCCAACGCGTTGAGGTCGTTGATGCTGCTGGAGAGCTCTGAGGTCATTCTGATCTCACAAGGGAAATCTGCCCCGCCTGTAGTCAGCTCAGACACCTGGTCCATGAGCTGAGTGCCGGCAGTGAGGCCGTTGTCAGTCAGGAGGTTTTTCATAGTGCTGCTGAAATCCAACTGATGCTGAAGTTCTTCTTGATGCTGCTGTGAGGTTAGCAGCATAGACTGGGCCTGTTGTCGATGCTGCTCCCCAATAGCTGATTGTACTCGGTGATCACCTGCTAAGATTATCATTTGTTCGTTAATAGCATTTTCCATGAGGTAATTAGGCCTCTGCATCTTGCATGTGCTGGTGGGGTCAGATTTCATCAGGCTGAGGTGGTTGTCACTGCAGGAGAGGTCGGGGTCAGACTCCAGGATCTGGGTGAGGTTCATGCGTGCAGTGTAGCTGGAGGGTAAGTTATTGATGCCCAGACCCCGGACATTGTTGTCATGGTCCCCCTCCAGTTTGCTCAGAAGAACATTGGTGATGTTATTGCTGTTGCACTGTTGTCCTGACGTTGTCTGGACCTCAGTTTGCATCATGACGTTGAGCGGTACAGAATGGCTCCTCTGAGCCATGCTGCTCAACCCGAGATTTGTATGGCTGTTTGCAAATATGTTTAACATCTCAGGCGTCACAGGGGAGTTAAAGGGAGACACAACTGAACGAGGCATATGGGAAAGGTTTCCCGTGTTTCCGGTCAAGTTCCTCTGATGAACAGCGGGGCTTACACTGCGACATCGAAAAGTTGTAGCTGGTGAGTTGGTGGCTTTGTTATCCAGAGGGGCAGGCACAGCAAAGCCCTCCTGCTTGGCCATGTTAGCTGCCTGCTGCTGCTGAACAGGCGAGATGGGAGTCAAGCGACCAAAATGGCCGTCGTGGTGCCGCGCATGAGGGACGGCGAAGGCGTGAGGCTTTTGAAATTGGTCACCTATCAGGCCTTGATAGCCGGGGAGGATTCCCATTCCACAGTTTGACTTGTTTAAGCTGCTGCTGTTGTAGCTGTTGTTCATCCACTCCAGCCTGGTCTTGTCTGGGTGGGTCGCCATCGGCCTCTGCATGGGCTTGACCGGGCTGCTGGAGACGGTGTTGCCGTCATGGAAACCAGGGATGCTGGAGTTGATGGGTGTAAAGGCAAACGGGTTCCTGCACTCCACGGGACTGGGAGGCACGGTGCTGCTGCAGTTGGAGTGTGGCGTACCCACTGGGGTGTGACGACTGCTTCCCAGAGCGCTATCCACCGGGGTGGTGGAGGCGATGCGGGAGAAGGGGCTCTCTACGGTGAACCGTTGGGGTCCTCCCAGCATCTCTGATGTTGGTGTTGGTGTGGGAGTAGGAGTGGGTGTCGGAGTCTGCATTGGGTTACTGTGGCTGTTTGCAGCATGATAGAAAGAAGTCATGGTCTGATTGGTGGACATCATGTTGTCCGGCATGGCTGCCTGTTGGCCTTGTGGTGTGACGCAGCCTCCAAACTCCTGCATGTTGTTAAGCTTCATCTGCTCCTCCATCTGCACCAGCTCCTCCACAATGCTGTCCTGGGTCACATCATCATCAAAGTGAAAGTAGTCCATATCTGTCTGCATAGGGAGCTGGCTTGATATCGTGGCTTGATTCAAAAAGTCTAATGGTTCAGAGTTAGACTGGGTGTAGATATTGGGTTGACAGCTTAAACTCCTAACATCACTCACTCCTGTAAGTGTTTGGAAGCCGGTGTTATTAGGTATGGCATGCACGTTAGGCGTTGTGTGCCCCTGCTGTTGCTGCATTAATGAGTGACTGTCTGAGATGCTATTTTCCATAACGGTGGGAGTGGTTTTCCTCTGCATTGAGCTCTGTGATCTGGCAACAGAGTAGAATCCACTCGATCTGAAAGAGGAAGTGCAGAGTGAGTGGGCTTGAGGGGAGATCATTTTCATCTCTACCTCCCTGGTCACTGGTGCACTTTCAGGTCTAGTTGGAGCTCCTGGGCGCAGGATGTTACCGACCGTGTTTCTAGTCCCATATCCTAAACCAGCAGCGCCCTCTGGCTCTGGCTGCTGGGGCATAAAAGCCCTTTTGATTGGAGAAAAATCTGGACTGAAGCATGAACGTTTCCTGAGGTTCTTAGTAGACAGGAAACCTTCCTTTGCTGCTGTAACTCCGCCGTTTTCCCCAAAAGAAGTTGGTGTGCTGGTGTTCAGTAAAGGAACAGCGCTGGTATTCTGAGTGGAAGGTGTTAAGTGCAAGTTGCTTGTATTATCAGCACCATTATTGCTGCTTTGGACTGCAGTGTTAATGCCCGAGGAGGACCTCCCGTGGCAGTTAGAGATAGAGGTGCTCTCCAGGAAGCCTTTAGACTGAGGTATGGGCACACTGGCAGCCCTCTGTAAAGCCCCTACAGCTCTGTTTACCATGGCTTCATGAGAACAATTCAAAGAGCCAGGATTTTGCATTTGGCTGTTTTTATGTATAGCTTCAACTTCCATTTCAACATCGATGGTTTGAGTGTTAGTAGTCTGCCCTGGTCTGGCCACCGGGGCCTGGATGGGGACTGCAGAGGCGCTCCTCATGCTCCGACTGAAGCTGACGTCTTCTGCAGAACTACTTACGCCTGTAGAGGCCGGCCGCAGAGTGGCATTTGTAAAGGAAGTGGTGGTATTGCTGCTGTTGGTTGCCAGCGATATGGCTGTCAAGTTGACCAAACTGACCGGGCTGACATGACATGTGGTCATCATGGTCTTCACAGGGCTGTTGCTGATGATCATGGTGGAGGGCGAGCGCAAAGTGATGGCAGTCGTGGCCACCGGTTTGGGCAGGATTTGCGCATATCGCTGCCGGGCAGTGCGTTCTCCCATGGGACTGGCTAGAATATTTTTGGGACTATGCCTCACTGCCTGAACTTGCTGGGTCACCATTTGGAAGTTAATAGGCATCATTTTGTTCTCCACTGTTCCCAGTGGACTGGGACACATCAGCTGCCTGCTTCTCTGTACCTGCAGAGAAGGAGGGTTGGTCAGAAAGGGGTACTGAATCTGTACTGATAGATCTCAAATATCACTATTTAGACAGAAGGTTGGCACAAACACAGGATACATTTTGGAGTTCATATTTTACATAAGTAAAAACTATATAGGTAGTGCTCTTAACATAATAAGATTTAGAATAATTAAGAAAGGTGTCCTTTTGAACACAATGCATCCTGCAACACGGCACTCATTTACTATTGAATTATTTTTTTCAAGGTGATTATATAATTATTCTTAAAAGTGGTAATGTTGGACACAAATATGTTTTACAGCATTCATGATGTATATATGTATATAATTTACCATTACATTCTAAATTGAAGTGAATCTAGACATTTCTCTTCTCTAAGGTCAGATGAATGCCATACATAGAACAAAATAAGACATTGTGATCTCCATAGAGTGCTGCTCTCACCGTGAGGGGGCTCTGCACTGCAGCGACCATGATGCCAATGGTGGGCTGAGGTGACGGAGGGGTGGGGCTGGCACAAGGCACACTCTCTGCCCTCTTGGTTTGTCCCTCTCCAGGAAAAGGAGAGTGCAGCTTCTGCTCTTGTTGTTTCCTCTGGAGCTTTCTCTGGAGCTGCTGCTTTGCATCGACAGACGGCGAGGACAGAGTCATCACATGAGGCTGGAAGGAGAGAGCCTCAGCGGCCGGGACGAACGCTGACACCGTCTGTGGAAGCTTTACCTCTGAAGGGAAGAGACAGGGGGTTAAGTACAGATAATGATTCTATTATCAGTAAAGTATTAGCCTCATCCTTATATTATGTAAATATGTTAATGTATGAGACATGGCACTCCATAAGACAACAAACTAACAAAGGTTTCACTCAGGCTTCATATATTGTTTTGTTTTTTACCACCATAGCATAGCAAATTGCCTGTGATGTAACATATTGCTAATGACTCCATGTTGCACAGAACTGAGTACCATGTAGATAATGTAATATATCATAGTTAATGTACATACAACAAACACAAATGTGATTATGTATAAAGTATGTGTATGAATAATGTTTTGTACTAGATGTTAGCCCTGTGGGAGTACCATTGGCATCAGCTAATGAAGATACAACTAAATAAACAACTATCCACATACATAGTGTGTTATATGTATGTGTCAGTTTGACCAGATTGCTCCAATAAAGCTGTAAAGGTTTCTGACACTTGAGAAACAGAGCTGTGTAAAAAAACAAGCAGACTGGAATAAAAGAGCAGTGACAAGCAACTGCCTCCAGATGTCACTCCTGACAGTTTTTACTCAGGTGGCATGAAGCCGACTCAGACTGACCTGTTGCTGTGCCGGTCATAATGGTGAGCGCTGCCAGGGACTTGTTGCTGATGTAATGGCTGTCGATCAGGAAGCGGGCCAAGTCTTCCACGACATCAAACTGGCGTTTCAGCACCTTTTGGGCCCACTCACACACCAGATCACAGGCTGCAAACCTCACATCTTCCTTAATACCGCCCAGCTGGCCCGGTGAATCCAGGACATCACATTGGAGCTACACACAATAGATTTGTGTTAATTTCATATAGAGCTGGAACAGCATTTTTGGCAAGCTATTTTGATTCTTGATTAATCGTAATGCAAAAATGGCCAAAAATGCTGCTTTTAGCTTCACAATTATGTTTAATATCAGATATATGTGGGTTTTGGCTTGTCAAACAAGACATTTTAAGACATAACCTCGGACATGTCACATTGCACTGACACTGCAGAATAGGAGTGACAAATATTAAGAGGAGAATATAGATTATTCTAAAATATTACTAATGAAGATGTAAACATGCTTACCCCGTCCCCTGTTTTATGAAGATCCAGAGTGGGTAAAGATGGCATGTGAATAACCAGCCTCTTCCTCAGTCCACTATAGCAATATGTAAGCTGGTGTTAAGAACAAAAACATCTGATTCCACAAAGTGAACAAAAACGTGCAATATACAGGTACATATGGACAGTGGTTAATATAGGAATCGTCTTCAGTTCTATAGTTATGGAGAAAAAAATATATTAGAACATTTTATATTGAAGATCAATTTTTGTTTTAAACAGTTGGACAGATACACGGACATCTGAAAATTAGAATAATATAATTTGAAAATGTAAGTGTACTTTGCTGTAGAAAAGTATGTTGATTTATATTTCAATATGTGCATGTTGTGAAAATATTGAATTAATGAAAACACATCCTTGATTCCAAACTTCCTTAAACACGTACAACTTTTCTTCAGCATCATAACCCATACGATTTTTGACTTATGATCTCACATTACAAAAAGATAATTGAATTGACCTGAAACACTGAAGGTTATGAATATAAATCAAATGTTGCACTTTAACATCAGCAGCAAAATATACTTCAAACAGATCCGAATTGCGTAATAAAAGGTCAAGGTCACAGTGACTCCCTGAGGGGCCCTGTATTATGCTACTGCTTCCGAGGCAGAGGGGGACTTTATTTCATTTCACATCTATATTTAGAGAGCTTTATGAACTGCAACAGCAGATGGTCTGCGATCAGGGACAGAGGCCAGACTGTTACAATCCATTCCAGTAAAGGATATTTTGATTTTCCTCTCATGCCAAGTCGACGAGCCTTCATGTTCGGGAAGACATTTTTCATCATTTTCCCAAAGTCTGCCGCACTCAGTGGATGGTAGTTCAGATTGTCACAGAAGCTCCTGAAAGACATAACAGACGGAATATTAAATTAAGAAAATATTTCTCTGAGTATTTGCCTTGAATTGAATTCATCTCAACATAGCAGATAATACTGAGGGCCCTTAATGTATGTAGTCCTGTGATTGTAAAGGGATTAAATTGTTAACATTTCAAACAACATTTCTCAGGAGCTGGTGGAGACTAAAAACAGAGCTTAGGGAGAGGCACTTTATGAGATGTCCGTAAACACAACTCTAAATCAATGATAATGTTTCTCTGTGTCTGCTTGGTGTGTTAGCGATTGATAAAGTCAATGCTGTGTTAACAACTTGCTTTTATCTGCCCCCAAACATTCAAAATGATAAGTTATTGCAGGTTTAACTGTATAATATATAAAGTTAAGTTTAAACAACTTTGAAACAGTAGAGTCGTAATAATGACTCACAGTTTGACACATTCGTAAAATGAGTACCGAGCAAATTAAACTCTTGTATTGTGGTTGACCCGGCTTCATCCCACTGGTTATGTTTAGTTAAATTCACCATACAGATAAGTGTATGTAACATAGTCCAATTAGTGCAGAGTTAACTGAAATCCTGATAATCTTCAAATGGCTTCTTTGTGCTATTTAAACCAAAACGTTTTTTTCAACAACATGTGAATATCAACTATTAAATGGTAATAAAACAACTCTAAGAAAGACTTCTGTATTTTTTGTTTCATGTTTAAAGGAAAGCACATAGAGTCTTCTTTGAAGCCTTTTCACCACTCTATTCTAAAGGCGCCAATATTTCTGGAGGCCACTGTATTTCTGATCTCGTTGAGTTAAAAAGGCCGTTACATAACACTGCCCGAGAATTTCAATGGCTGTCTCAGACTTTCCATTCTAATATTACCAACACATGCTGCTCTCTGTGATTCCCATGCCTGCTGCGTCTATTTATACTGTCGCCTCGGCCGCCAGTCATTTAGAGGCGAAAGATTCTTCAACATTGAAAAGGTGAACACCAATGTTAAACATTAAATATCATATCATAAAAAGGTGATATATTCTATATGTTTATTGAGAAGCTGTATGACAGTAAAATTAAGTTTCCTGTTTTCTGTTTGGACCTACTTGTATTCATCATAGACCTCCTGTTTGGGAAGAGAGGTCTCTGGGTATTCCTCTAAATGATGGCGGATCCAGTTAAACGCATGCATCTGCTGCGTGCGGCTGGATGACAGGGCGCTCTGCTCACTGAAAATAGACATCGATTATTCATTTGATGACAAATCACAGAACAAAAGCAACTTTTTGCCAAATTAACCTCAGTCCTAAGTAAAATCATATCCAAAACTAATCTAAGCTTTGAATGTTTGTGTGAGTCTAATCATTATTATTTTACCACATGATACAGTAATTAACAGAAATGTATGTGACTATGAATGATTAACTGTTTCTTGTCTTTTAAATACTTCAGCTGCTGTCCATTTTCCATAAATACTGCCAGAAAGCAGCTTTGTTCTTACCTTTTCTCGATGTTAGTGTTCGGACCAGAAGGCAACTTAAGGTAGAGGTAGAGTTTTTCAATGTCTGAGAACCTCTCCACATCTTGCTGTAGAAATACAAAGGGGACAAAAAATAGTTTCAATGCATGACCTTCCTTTTAATTGGTACAAAGTACTTTCCCTTCATTGATTACAAAATTGATGGACACTTGCAGAGCAGACATATCTTTCAGTCCACCTTCGTCCTGAATGAAATATCTGAACCACTATTTGATAGATTGCCAAAGATATTTTATTCGAACATGAAGTATGGATCTGACTGATTTTTGTGACTTTTCCTGTAGCATCAGCAGCAGCTTCACATGTGTGGTTTGGAGTTAAAAATTATCATCCAACTATGGGATGGATTGCCATGAAATCTGGTGCACAGATGAAAGCAATCACGGCTGTGATCCTCTGACTTTTCCATCAATTATCAGCTTTAAGAAAGCGTACGGGGTGTCGTGTCTAGGAATCTAAGATGATGTTAACTAAACATCCTGGGCACGACATGTAGCTATAAACAGTCTTCAACACTTCTAACTATGTTCTTCAAAGGGAAAAAAGAAACATGATATTGTGAAAAAGGCGCAGATTAAATTCTGCTGGTTTAATTGGCAGCAGAAAACACTGAACGCCAAGTAATACTTGTCCATGTAGAAGTGAATTTAGTAACCTACCCTATAAAAATACCACCCCTTTAAAGGTTTTTTCTTTAAGATTTAAGATATTTTTCTTTACAACCCTCAAGCAAAGCATTTAAACCTGACCCAAAGAAAACACACTGATCTGGAAGACAGAAAACATGGCAGGAAATTCCATGAAAAGGGGATTGATATGCTACTTAATACGTGAAAAAGAAAAGAAACAATGAATGACAGAGCTGCGTTTGATGAGACAAAAAATGTAACCTTTGTCATCAGATGTTTGGTGTAAGACAAACACTGCACATCATAAACATCCCATCCCCACACTGAAGCAGCAGGGCAAGGAGTGAGAAGCACGAACACATTTTCACTCTGACTTTAAACCCAGCAGTGTAAAGTTACGAATCAGAGATATGTTGCGTTTATTTCGCTGAGACACACTAGTACATGCACACACAGTCTGAATGGCTGCAGACACACAGACAGACAAGCTTCAGCTCTGCAGGGAGCTTGTAAGGTGAACTTGAATCCTCGGCTGATAGTAAATGCACACAGACACACATCCACACAACTGCCAGCACTCATTCACACTTTCAATTGGCTCCTCTGTCTCTTCTGATTAACTCCTTAACACCTCTTCGCACTTGCGCTGCAAGAATGAGCCCTAAAACCCGGAAATGAGTTAGCAGTTCTGCAATTCCAGTTCCATTGCCTCAAAGGTTTTTAAGAATGTTTTTTGATTTATTAGATGTCTGATACAAGGTCTGATATGTATATAATATATAGGTATTGTAAAGCTATTACTTGTTGTGACCATGGTATAGTCTCTTAAAATACTAACGTTGGCTTTTTACTTTAGGTGCTTTCATTATGCCATAAAAGTCATAAATCAACTTGCTAAAGAAAATGTGTAAGTCTGAAAAATGTTTGTCTGCCACAGAGCTTATTTCCTCACTTCCTGCTGCGAGTCTATATGTTACTGTGTCATCAGCTCTGCACAGTAAACACCTTTACACTTTCCTTTAACAAAGATGTTACCAGCATGCAGTGTACATTTTAGGAGTTGCTAGTTCATTTGAGAAGTGTTTCTTTATTATTTTGTGCAGCTTTGTATACCATTAGGTGGTGAATTCCTGACAAAAGATGCTGGGTTATTTCATCACAAGATCAGGAGGATGACGTCAGACAACACAGGGTTGCATTAGGTTTAAAGAGATTTGTGTCTTTTTTTTTTAAGGGCATGACCGGAATGAGGCTAATTGAACCGGTGTGTATTAAAAACTTCATGACATCACACTTTATATAAAGTATACTACATAAGGACGACCAAAGTCCCGGCCAACCTCTGCTACTCCTCTTGTTCTCCACAAACAGTTTTTGATACTGGGATATTCTGCTAAATTAAGTAGCATTAACAGCTGCACAATAATGCTGCAATTCACCATGCAATTCTGCTATTGGCAAACAATCGTTTCTCTAATACTCAAACATGTTGGCTGCATAGGCCCTTATGGAGCTCTAATAATTGTGTTCTCTTGTTGTTGCACCTCCCTTTGCTGCTGTAACAATGCAAATTCCCCACTGTGGGACTTTAGGATTATCTTGTCTTATTTTTCATCTTAACATTGACTGTCCAACACTTATTTTCTTAGAAAAAAATGATTATTATATTGTTGTTAAACAGCATAGTGCTCGCACAGTAAATACAGTGAAGTACGACATTGGCTGGTTCCTCATTGTACTTTCACAATTTTGGCACTTGGCAATTTCACTTGTTCATTGTGAAATTCATGCTGTAAATATCTACAGACTAACATAAACATGTATTTTTCCACACAAACCCTGGGGGTTCTTGAGCCGGATTATCACCAACAATCAGACATATTTTTGCCAAAAAAAGGTATTCATGGTCCTCAGAGGATTTCTAAAAAGCCTTTCCAAAATGTAACTGCTTGATGCAGCCATTCTTCCCAGAGCTGGACCCTTCCTTTTTTCTGCATAAATGCCACCTTCAAGTCAAAATAACATTTGAAGGTCCCGTATTTGTAATCATTTCTGTAAATTACTCAGCACAAGAAATAAACCCATCAGGAAACAATAGTGCTTAAGCTTTAAATGCTGAAACCACAAAATAACAAACAATATTTTAAAGTTATGTGAAAGGTGTAATACAAAATGTCATTTGCAGATTTTTTTCAAATATGTCACATATACTCACCAGAATGTTTTCCACTTTTGATTGAACAGATTTGCTGTAAAAAAAGAGACAAAATATAAATGAGTATGAAGCTGTTGTAACATGAGCGCTTGAGTCTAAAGTCTATTTATTTATAAAGCAGAGGAATGGTTGGTATGAGACGACCCTCCCCTCAGCATCTCAGGTCATGTATCCCACCACCAGGAACACATGTTGTCAAATGTAAAAGAGACAGAGAGAAACAGCCACAGACATTGTCTCTGACAGAAGAACACAGGCATCCATTTCCAGTTACCCAGGAAACCTACTATATGTCTGTTTCATCCCATTTAATGTTGAAGGAATACATTGATACAAATATGGACTTTCACCTTTTTAATTTATTCATATATTTTAACAATAAGTTGAACTATATTTTAAGAAAAGCAAATGTTTTATTGTGATTCCTGATTGTATATCGATATACTCACAGCTATTGTGTATTCTACAATATAAGGAGGCCAGTCAATTCCATACTGTATACACTGGTAGGGCTGAACAATACAAGGTCATTTATGAAGTCATTTTTGGTAAATAAACAGATATTAACGTGTCTTTTTGCTGTTTTCAGTATACTGCTTGAATCCAACATATTGTTGTTGAATTTGAAAATGAATGGGAATAATTATTTAATTTATGAAACAACAAAAAAGGCACCAATAAAACAAGAATGAAAGAAAAATACATTTTCCATCATGATGACGATAGAAAAGACACGTTTCTGCAGCCCTACATGCAGTACCAGCCGGACAAAAGATGCAGAGCAAATGAACTTATGCCAACCAGTATTTTGCACAATATACTGTAAATGTAATGCCCCATACCTCGGAGCCCTTTTTTCACGCAAAAAAGTGTAGAAGACAGATTTAAACCAACGATACATTGCTCAGAGTCCGGCCAGATACAAGATTATCACTTCTCCAGGTCTAAATCCTAATCTGCAGAAAGGTAAAGTTGTTGTTGTGCTTGCTGTGAGACATAAGACAGGTCACATTTAAAGACTCTTACTCTGCGACACCAGGCAGGCCAGAATCAGGAGTTGCTCTAAGCCACGACGAGAACAGGTCACTTTAATTCACTGTTACTAGGGAGCCACGGATTTTCCCATGCTAGAAGGCCATCGTTGAGCTGTTTGTTTGGCCGATTTGGCACCTCAAGCATTAAATGGATAAAAGAACAGATATAACAACACTGTGTAAAATATCCGGGTGTAACTCAGCCTCTGATTGGGCGGCTTGAATGAAAGCCAGCGGGAACAGTGGTGTGCACTAAAGACTATCACTCCATGTGATGACAGAGCGAGGGTGTAGTTGCAAATAAACTTGCTGACCTCGACTAAAACAGTCACACTCTACCGTGAACCACTCAGCTGCTCAAGTAAACGTCAATATTTATGCTCTAATCCACTTAAAGGTTAAAGATTTAGGGAGACACATTTTCAATATCCCCTCATGTTAGCAGCAGAATGAAGCGTTTCTGTGGAGGTTTCCCTGCAGACGCTTCATCTCTGAACTGTTGTGCTTTTGAGTAGTTCAGCCTCTTGACATTTAATGGCTGTTTGACATTTAAATGATAGTACTTGAGTTCATATACATTCAGAAATAAAAGGGTATTGTCGGTTAGAACACAGCCTGAAATAACAGCAACCACAGACAATACACTATCAAATAAACTTTTTTTTTCTAATATGTTGTAGCGTAACACTTGAACTTCTCTCTTATTTCACAGCAGACAGATACTCAATTTTAAAACATAGGCTTACATACAGTGTTTTTTTTTTGTATTATGCAAATTGCAGTAAGTGGTGGATCCTCCTAATTTTAAATAGGTTACTTCATACTTCATGTTGACTTATAGTCATGTGATTCTGTGTGGTTTATTTATTTGTAAAGTTATTTGTACCCTTAAACCAGGCAATGACGTCTGAGTGTAGTGAACACTTTTAAATAAACTGGTATGAAAATGATTTGGATAACATCATGGCCATGTCTGGTATGTGTGAGATAAAAATGCCATTATATTTATATTGCAAGGGTTAGGCACAGTTACAATGGTGTGAAACTGAGATATTATGAGTATTATGAGTCGGTTTACCCACTGCTACAGGAACTACATAACGGAGCTGTTGCTTTCTGTCGGTAGTGCTCTGATGATGGAAATAGAGGGAACTTGAATGTAAATAGCTGCTGCTGCGACAACGCCTTCAGCTCATCAGTAAATAAAAAAGAGATGAGGAAGTGAAGGAAAGGATGAACTAGCACCTTTACTGAAGGCAAGTAGCAACATGAGTCCTGAAATCAAAATGTTTCTTGAGTAAAATACACTGAACTATGCAGGCACAATGACCCTGTCAAATGTAAGGTATCAGGTTACAGCTGCAAGAATTTAACAAATTCGTTAGAATGTTCAATTGGTTTCATCATTTTTTAAGAAAGTAATTTCTCAGTTTTCATAGACAAAACATCTAATTGGTTTAGAAAATAATTGTCATCTATCAATTAATTGACAATGAAAATATTCATTCGTTGCAGCCCTAATATTACAATATTAACTTATTATTACAATATGAAACGGATGCATTTAAGTGTAAGCAACATTTCAATGTTGAAATTGGGGGGAAGCATTTACACTACATATTCTGTGGGTAGTTTATTGTGCAGCAATGTGTCATCACATTATATATCAGGGTTCCTACCCCTTTTTACTATTTCAAGATTTTCCAGAGCCCTACATCTGTTATATATTCCACCCTTGTTCATGTCAAGCCCTGACCCTAAAGTATAAAAATAGTTATTGATCCCAAGAAGATCTGCTTTACTGTTAAGTTAGCAACATGTTCATGTTGAGTCAGTCAATGATGGTGGAATGTGTATTAGCATCTACTCTAGTACCATTGAGTAATTTAATGCAAGTCATACTTCAACTTCACTGCATTTTAGAATAAAGTGTAGTACTTATTACTCCTGAAGGCTAGATACTTTACAGAGTAATATTGCTCATGCTTAACACACAATTGGTGATTAAAATATGAGAACCTGTTACTATTTAAACTATTTCCCAGTATGAAAAGTATAAATAACTCTAGAAATTATAATAATATAATCAAATGTAAGCTATAATTTAAGCTACAGTGGGTAACAATATGGAGTCATTTCATGTCTGTATACAGGACTTGTTATGAACTAGTAATAGATTATTTTCACTCTATGGTACTGCTACTACTACTCAGTAAACACAGTGGTGGAATGTAACTCAAGAACTGCACTTTACTAACTTTGTTTTAGTTGAATCTTACTGTATATTTTAATGTTCTTTTATAACTATTTAGATTGTGTGTCCTTTTATGTAAACGATAACGATTGTTATATATAACAATGTCATACTTACACGGGGACTTCTCAACGACAACGGCTTACTTTTTATGCTAGTACATTTGGCTAATAACACTGATGTTTACTCTGAGTAACCTTTTGCATGCAGCAGTACCACTAATTAACTAGGCTATTATAACACTGCGGAGTAACACCACTTCCACCTGCCTTTACGATCAAAAACTATAAAAGGAATCCCTTCCCTTTAAGCATGTAAGCATGTAAGCACAGTATGTATGAGTACAGCTCCTCACCAGATGGAGTTCTTGATCCGGAGCTGCAGCGCACTGGCCTCGGCGCCCTGCAGCCCGGTGAGCAGGCCGGGCATGCTGCTCGCCCCGCGGTCCGGCGGCGGCTGCTGGTCCTCCTCGGCCATCACGTTGGGCCTCGGGGTGGGTGTGCACTGGGCTGGGCTGGACGGGAGGCGTGGGAGGGTGTTCTCGGGCTAGACAACATGGACTGGAGGTCGTTGCGATGCTAACGGGACAGCAGCGCACCCTGTTGTTGTTGTTGCCACCCAGTCCTCCTCCGACATCGCTCGCTTCAAGTCCCGACACTTGGTGAATTAAAGACGCTGTGCAACAAAACTATGTGTCGCTGTCAGTCGCGACGTGATGCATGAATATAAATAAGTAAAGGCAGGTGTAAACAGACAGTACACGGACAGCCGCAAAATAAAAAAACTAGCTAGTCCCTCCGGTGAGCTGTGCCCCTCACGTTATGGGATTTCTCTGCATGTGCATGGTGAGTAGTAGCTGTTGGGACGACGCATGCGCACTAGACCCCCAGCATTAAAAAACAACATCTAAGCAGGAGGAGACGTTACTGAGGCTGAGCACGTTACTATGAATGGGAATGTACACATGGATATTATTACTTTAGACCCAGCAATAAAACAAACATACATCTAAAGTGAATATGAATTATAATGATATTAATAATTACAATCATTATTATTATTTATTTAAATGTTGTTAGTTGTGGGCTGGACTATCAAAGTACACTGACTTCAATTCTACATGTTAATCTGTACAGACTACTTAGTTACTTCTTCGTACCACTGGTACACTGTGTTCCATAGCTGCCAGAGCACCAATTTAAGTCTGCATATCATTTTCAAAAGGCCAGTGTTTCACGACATGACATGCTTTTGTTAAATTACAAACTATTTAATATGTGATGAATGTCATTCCTCAGAGAAAACTATTTGTTCACGAAACAAATCATTCATTATTCGCCTTTAGATGTCCTTAAAGGTTTACCGTACTGGGCGCATTGAACGAGTAGTTGCTATGCAACCAGACCTGTATCTTTTCCCTGTTTAGTGACAATGGCCGAAAGAAGTTTTGATAAAAAGCTCCGTCCATCTCAGCCTGGCGTCTCTCAGGTTTGAAACTTTATTGTGTCATGTTTGCCTATCCTAGGTTTTAACTGAACTGTTTGTTTGCCACCAAAAGGTTTAAACCGATGTATTTATTTCCAACAGGTGTAGTTACTCGCCAACATACATCAACACACAAGCTAACGTTACGCTACTTCCGCTAACAGTGTAATTCTTGTTTTCCGCTAACATTATAATCATTGTACTCTAACCGATGTATTAACATTGTGGAAGAAGATGAATGTTACGTTATGAATGGCAGAAAAATACACTGAGCTAATCCCATGCAGATGTTCAAGCATCAGTTCTTACATAACCTCTGAGTAGCCTACAACATAGAAAGTGCAAACCCATAAACCAAATAATCTTACAGGTATTATAATATGTTATACAGTTTATCATAAAACAACCCCTTTCAATCAATCACTTCAGCCTAGGTGTGCAGCCATTTTACAGTCACTTTTTATGGAGGTACCACTTCTAGTTTATGGCTTTCAGTTTCAGTTATATTAATAGGGAAGATCTGTGACAACTTTTCTAAAAGTGTGTGAGTGCAGGGGCTGTAAGGCAAAGATCAGTATTGATATTTGATGGTTAAAAAATCAGATTATGAACTATCTGTTAATATGTGTTTTCTTAAATTAAAAAACATGAATAAACATAAAACATATTTTTGTATATATGTAGGCTACTGAGCGGGATATTTATAGTTGAAAGAAAACAGGGCTTACTGTGCTTATGTACAAATAATATAACAATGTATAATGGGTTTAATTTGAAACGCACTTCATATTTGAAGTCAAATCCCGAAGTGCTACAAGCAGTGAGCATGGAACAATATAAAACAGCACACAACACGGTAGAATGAATAGTAAAAAAAAAAGCAGTATCAGTCCGGCTTACAAGGTGTGAAGGTCAATTGCTAATTAATTTAGATCATAATCCAATTTTAGGCCTTTGTGAAATATTGACTTAGAAAATCCATGTTACCAAGTCTGCCTCTCTGTCTTGTTTAGCCCAAGAAACGCCCGTCCTCGTGCACTAAGGCTGAGAGGTCGAAGAGGATTGAAGTACGACCGCAGGTCAAATCTGCCTCAGGCCCAACGAAAAATCACACAGATGACCTTTTGGCCAAGGAAGAACAATACAAGTAAGACCTCCTGTTTCAAAAGACATTTCCTATTTTTTCAAGTTTTCAAGAAGCACTGATCTACATATTTATTCATTTATTTTTCTTCAGACTCATGAATGCAGAGCTGGAAGCCAAAACAGCTGATCTAGTAAGACAGGCAGAACAACTTATGGTAAGTTATCAACATGTTCACATCAGTGTGTTGTAAAAACAACACACATTCTTTTTGTATTTGGCAAGTGAAAACTGCCTTAAAAAATGAACCTCCCTATTGGTGTTTATCCAAATTTAGAGAGACCAGAATGAAGTTCTGTCAAAACCCTTATCTACCCTCCTGCTTTCGGACATTGAGGATGAAGAGAGGTCAAGGTAATAGATAGATCAGATCTTTGGAGGATTGGGCATGACACAATAATTACTGTTCAATTTTAAAAGGTCTAAACTTATTCCAGAGAAAGAACCTATGCAACAAAATAATAAATGTATATAATATATATATACCTAACTGTTTCCATGTATTTATCTATCTTTTCCCTTCCAGGATACCAAAGCTAAAACAGAGAACTCTGCAGGGGCCCGGTGTAAAGGTATCATTATAACGTTTTTCTGCCTGTATTTCTGAAACAATTTACCCGGCCAACACACACTACTTTTCCATCCACCGCTACATTTTGTCAATGCTGTAGGACTTTCTAATATGTTTTTTTTTAATTATATTTGCTATACATTTACTTAGGGGGTGACCAAAAAAAGAGTCACATCAACATCAAACAACATGTGTACTACTGGTCAACAAGACAAGGAGCCTCACTTGAAAACAGCGTAAGTTGATTGTAACTGTTAGTTAAATATATTCTGCATGCATTTCTTCACAAGGACATTAAAAGTTTTCACATTGTTCACACAATTTTCAGAACCTCAAAGGCTTCTCGTGGGGATGATTTAGTTGCTGGAGAAGACTCTGCTGATTCTTTCCTGGCTAATACAATACGTAGCATGGAGGAGAAGATGAACGACACCATGTGTCATGAAAGTGTCATGGATGATTTTGATACTGCTGGAGAAAATGTAGGATCAGGTAATGTCCATCCCAACTTGTGAAAAGGAAATCCCAGTTGTATTCACTAATAGTGAATTACACAAATGTTTATTTTAAAGCATGTCATTTTCTCCCTACAGGTCCGTTTTAAGGTTTCAATAAGTCATTTATTAGACTGCCATTCACTCTGTGTTAGCTTTTTTGCAAATACATATACTTAAATACAATCTCTGAATCTATTTTGCAAAATAAATGATACATTCTTACTATTTGTTTTGTTTTCTCTACAAAGCAGAACTGTTTATTGGGATTAATGTGGCATCTGAAAACGTCAAGAATGTGTTCTACATTAGGAAATCTTACCTCTTAAGAACAATTAATTAATACATTCAATTATACAGTTTATCAGTCTAGACGTGTGAGATGGTTGATATGTTTTTAAAGTATTTTTTCAAGGGGAAAAGTGAAATGGGCTCCTAAGTCTGATTGTGTTGCTCTGTTTTTGTTGCGGTTAGGTGTTTCAGATGCTCAAATACGAGTTCTGAAGGCAAAGCTAGGGATCATGCAAGAGGAACTGGATCAATTCTCATGTGAATATTACAAGAAGGTAATGTGTGGATAAAAAAGATTTAACTAGAACTGTAATGACCCCAGCCTATCAGCAGGGGGGGACAGAACTTCAGCTCAACATCAGTGATGAAAAATCTGAATCAGAATACCTTTATTCGTCCCACAGAGGGGACATTTGCATTTGTTACAGCAAGAAAATAGCCAAAGACAGCTTAATATTAACTAAAAAGCATGCATGAAAAAAATATTAGAGATTAAAAAAATTACAGTACACCATTTTCAAAATACACATCTGTAAAAGTTTTTAAGAGGAAGCAGCCAGGTATATATTGCACAGTTATTAACAGTGTATATATATTGTACATCATTTGTAGGGGTGTTCTAGCATAGTCTGTGTTGTTGTGTTTGTGGGGGGGTCTACCAGGGGCCGTAGTGGTTATATAGTCTGACCGCTGCAGGAAGGAAGGACCTGGAGATGACTTTAAATATTGACAACATTGTTCTACACCGTTTTCCTGTTGTTGTTAACATTAGCATCTGTTGTTGCAGGATGATGAAAATGCTAAACTTAGTGCAAGAATCAAGGAGCTTGAGGAGGATCGAGTCAGACTGCAGAAAACAACAAACATCCAACAGACACAGATCGAGAAGCACAGAGCGCTAGCAGAGGAGTCCAACAGAAAATGTGAAGGTGTTCAACTGCAAGTGTCTGCTCTCCAAAAGGTCTGTAACCCATACTTTTTTAATAACGAACTACAAAATGTGACACGATCTTCCATTACTCATGTGATCACTTCCTGGTCGTGCTATGTGCAGGAAATAGAAAATCTGAACAAATCCCAGAAACAAGCGGCGGCCGTCCACAGCAGCGTGGAGGTGCGTCTGAACAGAGCCTTGGAGGAGGGGGAGAGGCTGAAGACTCAACTCAACAAGATGAAGCAGACCAGCAAGGTAATCAGATTACAGTGTAGATAACACCATTGCTATTTGTTTTGTGGATTTTTCCTTTCTATCAAACTTCTATTCAGCATTTGATCATAAAGTGCTTTACTTAATTTCCCAGTCCTTAGAAGAGACAGGGGGCCACACTTTTATTGCAGTAGTGTCCTGTACAATTGAAATATAATGAATTAAAGGACACCTATCATGCTATATTTAAATGATATATTGTAGGGCCATACCTATATGCTATATAAGGTATATTTATACGTTTCTGTTTTCAAAATACCAAACAGATCATGCATTTTAGCCATGCCTCATTTCGCTCTATGTGCTGTTCTCCAGCACTGTTTTTGCACGGGGCTGATTCTGTGAGCTGCAGCTGACCACGCCCCCCTGCAGGAGAGGGGAGCCGTGCTCTGATCAAGTCAAGAGGGGGAGAAAAATAGATCTCCGTCCTCCGTGTTTTATTATATAGAGTCGTTATTCATTTGTTTTAAAGCTCAATAAATAACAAAGAAGACCTTTGACCGGCACTTTTCTAATATTGTCCGGAAGATTTAAACTTTAACGGACATCTTGACCGGCGAAAGAAAACCTAACTGAAACTCTGCCGCACGGTCCCCTCGTTCCTTGGAAGAGGCGGAGAGGTGGGTGTTTGTCATCTGCTGGTGGACTAACCGGAGAGAATTACAGTGCTTGCCTCGACGGGGAGGGATTGCATTGAATTAAAGCAGCGGGAGCAAACGCTTGCCTCGGGGAGGGAGAAAAAAAAGCCACAGCGGAGAATAAACAGAAGGGTAACCATAGTAACCATGCGCGGGAAGTCTTCTTCGCTGCTTTTGTGGCAGACTACAGCGCCACTTACAGGCCTGGCATATGTACTACAGCGTCTCCAGCGCTTTCGAGCGGCAATGGCCGGCCGTGGCCCAACCCCACATTCCCTTAATAGGTGGAGAGTTGGCCCAATAGCCGTAGCGCCACTTTACTGACGTCAGTAAAGTGTTTAAATCTGGATCAGTTTTTATCAGATCCGTTGCAGCCCCTTTTTTAGAGATTTGGGTATGGAGGAAAATAGAGAGGGTTGTGTTTTCTGACACTTGGTGAGTTCCCTGGAACACCGGGGACACATATTCATGTATAAAAGACGTACAAAAGTGCATTTTGCATGATAGGTCCCCTTTAAAGGTGGGGTATGTCATTTATTCCATGGAACACTTTTTGTTATATTCCATGGAATGCTCCTAACATCCCGATAGCAATGAATATATTAAATGCTTTGACAATAAATACATTAAAAAAATTCATCTGTGGAAGCCGTAGCGCTGTAAAAAGCACGACCAATCATCTGAGCCGGCCCGGCTAAAATAACTGGATGGCCTACCTGCCTGTCAGCCTTCCATCTCGTGCACAAACTTATCTCGTGCCCTCATTGGTCATGTGCGCGTTCGTGTGTGTTGGAGGAGGGGCTCTGTAAGGAAGTCTGAAGGAAGGGGCAGTTTTTTTTCCATTGTGTACTTTCAAATTCTAGCGCACTCGAGCTGGTTTCTCCATTCTTAACTACCCTACCTTTAATACACACATAAATAAAACATGAAATCATAAAAGAAATACAAAAATAAGAACATATTCATAACAATTACATAGAACTTCATCTTTATTTCAAGGTAAACAATATATTCCTGTTGTAGAGCTTTTTTTAAATGTTAATATTTTTAAAGGCATGTAATTATGATCGTCTTGAGATCAAAACGGATTTAACATCTTTAAAGTAAAAAGATAATGCATCCTTTTAAGTATATAAAAGATCATACTATAAATGTTAAAACAGGGAGATATGCAACTGATAAACTCCATGGAACAAACAGAAGTGAAGCATGCGTGACACCAGGAGGGTTTTCTGTGGAGCATCTCATCAGCTGCACGCGGGACAACATGGAGGAAGATATTTGGAAATGGAAAGAGTTTATTAGGCTCTTCAGATTTAACAGCTTCAACTGAAATTCAACATGTTTTGATTGTTTGAGACCTTTGTTTGCCCTGCTAAACTAATGTCAGTCTTTTTAAATATGTGATCAGGACAAGATCAGCGAGGAACATCAGAGTAAAGAACATCTCCTTGCTGAAAACAAAATGTTAAAAAAACAGAAAGCAGAACTCATTGTGGGTTTTAAGAAACAGCTCAAGCTGATTGACATTCTCAAAAGACAAAAGGTAAGTGTCTCTAACTCACTCTGTTAATAATAGGCACCCTGTTTTCAGTTTCATCTAAATGTAACTCTTTTGATGCAGATGCATTTTGAAGCTGCCAAGCTGCTGTCATTCACCGAACAGGAGTTCATGAAAGCTCTAGACTGGGGGAAGTCATAAACACAGAGACACGCTGACGACCGAGTCTTCACTTTCAAAATGTGTCTCCTGATAATGATCACATCTAGCCACTACCTTTTCTGGAATGCTTTTTATTCAGATCCTGTAACCCTAACCCTAATAAGACGTTTGTTTTTGTACTGAGTGCTAATAAAGTTCCTTCATGAATCCTGAACGATGAAATCACTCAATTGCTACCAAGGTAACTCTAAAATGCCATCTAGTGTCATGAAGTTCAGATCAAACGTCTACTGATCGTCCTCCCAGCCGTCCTCAGAGGAGATATCTGCCGGACGCTTTTCAAAGTTCTTTCTGAAGTCTTCATCAAAGTGCTGCAGGTCGTCTTCACGGAGCAAGCCCTGAACAAGGACACACTCATGGTCATACACTCGTTCCACCAACAGGAGATATGAATCAGTGTTATTCATGCTTCATGCTCTGCATCATACCTTTGGGAGGTATCCAAGGAGTTTTGTTGCGTGGCGTTTAAGAAGTCGCTGCCTCTCCTCTTCGATAATCTGCCGACGCAGCGCCTGCCTCTCCTCCTCAATCGCCTTTTCTTTAGCCTCCAGTTCCTTAAAGAGAGATATGAAAGTTATTATCAAATCTGACATTATATTTAAGTATGTAAAACAATCACTGGACATACTGTAAATTCACACTGTTTCCACACACCCATGTTAATATATATATAATATGTATATATGACCCAACTTGTATATATGTCTATTTTCATTTTAATTCATAGTTTATATGACCAAATATGTATATATATACATATTTGTATTCTTATTTTCATTTTTTGTATTAATCTCTTATTTCATAGTTTGTCATTATTATTATTTTTATTTGTAATCTTTGATCTTATTTTTGATTGTATTACTCTGTGTGAATCAGTCCTGTTTTTTCACCCTTACCCTGTTGTTTAAACAACTGAATTTCCCCACGGGGATTAATAAAAGTCCATTTTATAAACCGCAATAAACCGTATTTAATTATTTAATTTCATATTCTGTTCTTGTACATATCCTAGGGCTGTGGAATTAATCGTATTTTAATCTCGATTACGATTTTGGCTTGCAACGATTACGAAAACAACGTAATCGAAATAAAACGATTGTTTTTTGAAATTATTTTGTAAATTGGTTTTTCAGTTGAATTATACTTAAAGTTCAGGGTAATCAACTGTTAAAAACATACTGTTCACATTTTTTTTTCAATAAATGTATGTTTTCAAAGTAAATGGATAATCATTTTTAATAATCGTGATATCAATTATTGACCCAAATAATCGTGATTATGATTTTTGCCATAATCGAGCAGCCCTAACATATCCCATATTCTATTGACATGTACAGTATATAGACTTCTTGGACTACTTTTTATTTTGTATGTTATTATATATGTTGCATTGTGGGAGGAGCTCCGGTCAGAAGAATTTCATTGCCATTTCTACACTGTAGCTTGGTGCATGTAAATTACGTAACAAAGTTGCCTTAATTAAAAAGAACAACCGAACGCAATTAATTTCATAGTTAAATTCAATAAATAAATACTTTATTTCATGTAATATTATAATCGTTAAATATGGCATGATTTAATACAGTTTGTTGTATATGTTAAACCAAGAAGTGTTTGTTGTTTCCTGTGCCTAGGAACTAATGTTTGTTCATGTACTGGTACTGCGTGCTTTGTTGATACACTGGACAACTCAACGTGGGTTGACGTCTTTATTTGAAGCTCTGCTGAAGTCTGTGACAAAGTTTTAATTTGACAAGGTTATACGGAAAAGGAACTTTAAAGATGAATCTCCTTTCACGACAAGCGGCCAACGAGGTATTTGTTTTATGTTTTCATATGTCCTATTTTCATTCATATATGTGTAGCACAATATGCTAATATGTTTGGCTATGTCTACGTGTTATTCGTTGTTTTAGTTCTCACGGCGTAACGGAAGAGGGGAGGCTACAAGATGAAAACTCCAAGAAATAAACGCCCGTTTTAAAGAACCGACCTGTGTCTGTGTCGTGAAGAGAGCTACAGTGCATATGACAATAAAACCTTTGAATCTTGAAGTATCGCCATAGCCGCACAGTGAAATATGAGTGTAGTGTGTTTTGCTTTGTTCCTCATATACATCTTGTACTTTCTTTCATTGTCCATAAGATTCAAAATATAATCATGATTAAACAGCGATATGTATACACAGTGTAGTACGAGCAGCATAACACCTGATATTAAAACCACACCAGCACTGCTTTAACTTGGATATAACAGAGTGTGGTTCGTACCTTGTCCGCCTCATGCTGCCTTCTTCTGTCCTCTATCAGTTTCTCCACCTCCCGTTTGTGCTCGAGTTGCTTCATGCGTCGTTTCTGGGCGTTCATCTGCTCCAAACGATCGTCCTCGGCAAACTTAGCCATCATTATTTTCCTGAAGGCCTCCTCTTCGTCTTTCTCTGCCTGCCTTCGCATCTCTTTGAAGGCCATCTGCTCCTGGCAGGTCTGCTGCATCGTCAGCCTCTGGCGGATTTTCTTTTCCATCTCTTTCTATTAGATTAAAATAATAATAATAATAATCATTCAGTGGTGTTGGGGAATCATTTGCTTAGGTATTCAACCTTTGACACAGTTCATCATTTTCTCCTCTCACTGTCTCCTTTCCCATGGCATAGGTCTACGGCCTTGGGTATTGCTGCTATCTCTCTTAAGGAGGAGCAGCTTGGGCGCATTGTTGTTGCCAGTCTATGACAGAGCACAAGCCGCCATGAGGTGGTTTACTGTTCAGGGATGTAGGTTCCCTGGCGCACATTCTTTCCTATGGATGAGAGCTCTAGTTAGATTCAGGGTCCATATTGCTTTAGTCTCACTGATGAAGAATGTTGATTATTACACTCCGAACTAGTTAAAACCTCGAGCTACAGTCAGGGTTCATACATTTTTTTACCAATGATTTTCAATGACTTTTCCATGACTTCTCCATGACCTTTAGGCAAGGCAAGGCAAGTTTATTTATATAGCACCTTTCAACACAAGGCAATTCAAAGTGCTTTACAAAAATGGAAGACATTAAGAAAATGGCATTTAAAATCAGTCATTAAAAAGAAAAGATAATAAAATAAACATTAAAAGAAAAAATACATGGATAAAAGTTACAGTGCAGTTTAAGATGTGAATAGTTCAATTAAAAGCAGCGGCAAAAAGAAAAGTCTTCAGCCTGGATTTAAAAGTAGTAAGAGTTGCAGCGGACCTGCAGGTTTCTGGGAGTTTGTTCCAGATATTTGGAGCATAATAACTGAATGCTGCTTTACCATGTTTAGTTCTGACTCTGGGGACAGAAAGCTGACCAGTCCCTGAAGACCTGAGAGTTCTGGATGGTTCATAATTTAGCAGTAGGTCAGACATGTATTTTGGGCCTAAACCATTCAAAGCTTTATAAACCAGCAACAATATTTTGAAATCTATTCTTTGACACACAGGAAGCCAGTGTAAAGACTTCAGAACAGGAGTGATGTGATCCACTTTCTTAGTGTTAGTGAGGACTCGAGCAGCGGCGTTCTGAATCAGCTGCAGCTTTCTAATAGATCTTTTAGTGAGACCTGTAAAGACACTATTACAGTAGTCGAGTCTACTGAAGATAAAAGCATGGACAAGTTTTTCCAAATCCTGCTGTGACATTAGTCTTTTAATCCTAGATATGTTCTTTAGGTGATAGTAGGCTGATTTAGTAACTGTTTTAATGTGACTGTTGAAACTCAGGTCAGAGTCCATGACTACACCTAGATTTCTGGCTCTATCTGTTGTTTTGAACATTGCAGACTGAAGCTCAGCGCTAACTTTTATACGTTCTGCCTTGGCTCCAAAAACCATTACCTCAGTTTTATCTTTGTTTAATTGGAGAAAGTTCTGACACATCCAGTCATTGATTTGTTCAATGCACTTACTCAGTGTTTGAATTGGAGCATAATCTCCTGGTGAAATTGTTACGTAAATTTGTGTGTCATCCGCATAGCTATGGTAACTTATTTTGTTGTTTTTCATTATCTGAGCTAGTGGTAGCATGTAGATGTTAAAGAGAAGAGGCCCCAAGATGGAGCCTTGAGGTACCCCACATGTCATATTTGTCAACTCAGATGTGTATTTACCTATAGAAACAAAGTTTTTTCTGTCCTTTAAGTAGGACTCAAACCAATTTAGAACTGTTGCCTTTACCTAATTTTCCATGACCAAAAAAATTACCCTTTCTCAGCGGTACCACTGAAAATGGTTTATTTTAACATGGAACAGGAAAATAAGGTCTGCATATGAAACATGTTGTGCCTATCTAAAACAAATCAAATAGTAGGCTTACTAGCTCCTACAGGCTAAAGCAACTAAAATCTCTCACCAGCAAAATACCTCGTCAGTTAAATGCCATTTTACGTTTCATTACTATACGATACAGTATTTATTATCATTATAGTATTACTATTTCGGCGATTAAATAAAATATAAATTATATTTGATGCAACTTTAGTTACATTTCCATGACTTTTCCAAAACTTTGGGAAAAATATTGTTTTCCATAACTTTTCCAGGGCCTGGAATTAGCATTTTGAATTTCCATGACTTTTCCAGGTTTTTAATGACCGTAGGAACCCGTATAGAAAGAGTTATTCAGAATTGGTTTGGCAACCGCCGTGTCAACTCGTGACACACCACCTGTCTTGTCAATTCTCCGGCCGTAACTCCAAATAAACCGTCAGTGTTTGCCATCAAAGCTCCAGCTCTCCTCGTGCCTCTGAGTCCTGACTCCAATTGCTTCAGAAGTTTCCCCCACAAGTGGAGCTTTTAAATTCATAGCCCGGAGTGTCTTTGTACATCTCTTTTCTCATGATGGTCTCATTTTCATGTTTTTGGGCCAAACCATTAACAAAACAATCGTTTGATAACTAGCATGAATGTCTAACATGTGAGAAAGTAAAGCAAAGATACTTACAATTTCTTTCTGCCTGTGAGCCTCTTCTTGTTCTTCTGAATGAAGTTCCTCACGGACTCGCTCCATCTCTTCTTGCTGCTGCCTTTTCGCTTCCATTTTCTCAGACAGCTAGGGAACAGAGAGGAGTGCCAGATATACAGTTATGTGTCGTTGAATGAAAATCTAAAAAGGGTTAGGGTTAATTTTGATTTAAAAAACGTATTTGTCTAAATGATTACGATTTTATGAAGATGCTCCTTTGCTTCTTCTCTCTCTCTGATCTTGGCCATCTTGCTCTCCTCCATGTGCTCCTGCTGGCTCGCAAACTCCATGATGCGCCTGTTCTCCGCCTCCATCCTCTCTCGCTCCATGCGCCTCCACTCCGCCTGGTGCTTCTTGAAGTCTTCGATGTGCTGCTGAGTGGCTCTGACCTTCTCCAGCTTCAGCTGCCTCTCCCTTCAGGAGAACAACATCATTTAAAAAACCCCTCACACTACCAAAGGCTTATCTCCTTCTTGGAGAAGAAACGGAAGCTAGTAGATACTCTATTTTAAATGCATCCTGTAGTATTTTGAGTCAAGGACAGATACACAGAATCAGAAACAGGTTTATTGCCAGGTAGGTTCACACATACGAGGAATTTGACTTGATGTCATGGTGCAGACATCAAATATAAAACAAGAAATCTTTAAGGACACCGTAATAAAATATAGTGAAATAGCAATAAGATAAAGCAGTAATTTACATGGAAATAGAATGCTATGAATGAATTATAGGATATAAAATATGAAATATGAAACAAGAAATATGTGCAGTAAGCAGTATGAACATTGTGTGCATTAATGTAATGGATATAGAGACTACGTTGTGGCTGAGGTAAGTGTCAGTGGGGGGGCCGGGCCTTGTTTAAGAGGCCGGTAGCGGAGGGGAAGAAACTGTTCAGGTGGCGAGAGGTTTTGGTCCTGATGGAGCGCAGCCTCCTGCCAGAGGGGAGGGGGGTGAACAGTTTGTGTCCAGGGTGGGAGGGGTCGGCCACTATCTTCCCTGCCCGCCCCCGATTTAAGTCACTTAAATCACATAATTTGTCTAAACATATGTTCTTTACCCAGTATAAACATGGCCAACTCAAATCCATGGAATATGTATTCTAGGTAATATCATACCCCTTGATTGTTGGGTTAATCTAGAAAATGTGTACTTTTTTTGCAATTCTCTTAAATGCTGTAAATATTGGCACCGAAGGACTCACATCTGATCCTCATCATAAATCTTTCTGACGATCTCATCCACCAGGAGCTTCTCTTTGAGGAACTCCTCGTACGCCTCTTGTCTCTTGCGCTCCTTCTCCATGAGCTGCAGCTCCAGCTCTCTCTGATACTCTACCGTTTCCTCCAGATGTTTCTGCTCCAGCTTCAGCTTCTCAGCGGCCGCTCGCTCAAGTTCACTCTTCATCTTGCGTCCAAAATCTGCCACCTCGCGCTAATTCAAAGAAAAGACATACACTGAGGAAAATATTATGTGTTTTTGTGAAGTTAATAGCTCCTTGTTAATAGCTCCTTGTTACTAGCTCCTTGTTACTAGCTCCTTGTTACTAGCTCCTTGTTACTAGCTCCTTGTTACTAGCTCCTTGTTAATAGCTCCTTGTTACTAGCTCCTTGTTACTAGCTCCTTGTTAATAGCTCCTTGTTACTAGCTCCTTGTTAATAGCTCCTTGTTAATAGCTCCTTGTTACTAGCTCCTTGTTACTAGCTCCTTGTTAATAGCTCCTTGTTAATAGGTCCTTGTTAATAGCTCCTTGTTACTAACTCCTTGTTACTAACTCCTTGTTACTAGCTCCTTGTTAATAGCTCCTTGTTACTAGCTCCTTGTTACTAGCTCCTTGTTAATAGCTCCTTGTTAATAGCTCCTTGTTACTAACTCCTTGTTAATAGGTCCTTGTTAATAGCTCCTTGTTAGGAGAAATAAGGATATGTTTCACTCCTAACTGATCAAAAGTGAATATCAATGCACTTTAAATATGGGACCTAATGAAAAAAGGTAATTAAGCCTGCATGTACTTCATAAACAGTCCCTTCTATTATGTTCTTGATTAAATAATACTGGATCTCTGCCCGTTAGCTGCAAAGAAAAATCTAGTTTTAAATGAAATATTTTAAGAACAGAATTAATCTTCTACAACCAGTGGTTCAGACTTAGGTTATGTTGTTGGGAGTAGCTGATTGAAATGAATGCGGACCGTGCTCACCATTGTCTCAAGCCTCATAGCTTCATGCTCAGCAATCTGCGCAGCTCTCTCCTTATTCAGATAGGCAGACTTCAGCTTCGACTCCAGCTCTCGAAGCTCCATGCTGAAAAGTATTCAAACCGACTTGATCATAGGTACTGAAGAGACCAAAGCAGAGAAAGACAACACAACAGCAAGAAAGCATTTGCATTTTGAGCCGGATTATAAAGTGAGTCCAGGTTATGGAGCATGTGTAGGTGTACCTGTTCTCTTTAATATGCTGCCTCATTTTCTCTTCTCTTTGGGTCTCACAGTTGATGCGGGCCAGCTCTTTAGCCAACCTCTCCTCTTGTTCTAGTTGTTGTATTCTGGTTGCTCTCTGCTCCTCTGCCTGCAAGTCAAAGATAGTTATGATTATAAACATCTGAGTTTAGGTAAGTTACAGTACTGTGTATCATTACATGTTTAACTGGTGATAACCAATAAGACAGATATTTACCATGGATCAAATGTGAGTTCCCTGACACACCGGGGACACATCTTTATGTATAAAAGACATCAAAAAGTGCATTTTGCATGATAGGTCCCCTTTAAAACAGGTTCCTCATGTTACCCACTAAATGTTGTTTCATTTCTTCACCTGAAACTGGTTTGCCATTTGGTGATTTTTTCAGCAAAATAAAAGGGGCCGCTCAATTTGAAGATGTGTTTATTTATATTATCTTGTATATTTGGTGTTTTTTTTTTACAATTTCTATGTGTGTAGCATGAAGTGAGCTGCAACTTATTGTGAAATACTGTATAATGGTTGCCCTAGAACGTTTTTTAGGGCTAATGGTCAAAAGAGTGTATTTCCTGATGGAGATGGGAGTGTAAGGGAAAACAATACAACTGATGCTATGTATAAAAAATATCATATAATCGTAAGAGGGCCGAACAAATATTGGCTTAAGTGAGAGAGGTATATTGATTTTATAATGGCACAAGATAAAAAATAAGGTATAAATATGGTCTTGTATTCTTAAACGTATTCCCATGTGCTCAGGATCAATATATTTGTATGTTATTTTATGTATTGAGTGTTACTTATTTTTACAAAGCCATCTCATTGATTATTGTGTTGAAGCAGCTTTTAGCTTCTATGCTCCGCAGACCAAACTTCCTAAATATCTGAAGTCTGCCCCAAACCCGGGTTCTTTTAAATAAAGGCTGAGAACCTTTCTCTGTATGCTGATTTTCCAAAGACCATCTAACTATGTGTTATCATAGCACTTCAGCACTTGCTGCATTATCTGTATTTACAATGTCAATTTTCTAACCATCCTTTCATGAGTTGTCTTTTAGTTCAATTCATTTTGTTTTTAATTATTATGTTTTAAGCACTTTGAATCCTTTGTGTCTGAAATGTGCTATGTTTCAGAAGAATCAGAATCAGGTTTATTACTAGGTAGGTTTACACGTATGAGGAATTTGACTTGGTGTCGTGGTGCATACACACAAGTAAAGCAAGAATTTAAAACACAGGTAGAGAACTAGATTTTTTTTTAAATAATAAAAAATATAGTAAAATATAACAGTATTTACATTGCAATGGAATGGAATAAAAGGGAATAAAATATGGAATAAAAATCGGCAGTGATATAAAAAAAAATAAAAAAAAACCCAGATATTGTTGTACATTGTGTGCATTCATGTAATGTAATGCATGTTTAAACTAACCTTAACCTTTGTTTATCCCTCTTGTTCATGGGGTGACACGGTGTAGAGATGGGACAATGGTAAAGGATATATATTCACAAAAACATGTGTAAATTATTTGTTTTGTGTAGGGAAAATTTGATGCAAGTGATATCAAAAAAATGCAGTGGAGACAGGGTGCCCTGCAGAGCCGACCCACAATGCCTTAGTGAGGAGACCCACTTACCTGGATGAGAGCGGCCTCCACCTGTCTGTCCCTCAGCTCCTCCTTCACCTGCCTCATCAGCCTCTTCCTCTCGAAGCTGTCCTCGTGCCGCAGCCCGGCCTGCTGCTGCCGCTCTCTGTCCGCGCGCCCGGCCTCCTCCTGCCGGTGCTGCTCCTGGTTCTGCCTCTGAGACATCAGCCTCTGCTGCTGGCTGTACGCCCGGTTACGACTCTGTCCCAGTGGAAAAGACACGTAAGAAAACATTGAATAAACTCAACAGGTGCTGCGTCAACAGGTTGATGTTAGCTGCTCTGCTTGTAGCAGTTAAGCTAAAGGTAAGTTTAACTTCGGTTCAGCAGAAAGTTTACCATGTTTTAGGTGCTTTTCGTCGATGTCCTCCTTCCCGACTTAGTTAATATTAACTCTTTAATTTGTAAACAATTATGAATTTATTAAATTGAAGTTCATATTGATGCCGTTGTTATCCTGACGAGACGCTAAATGTTCTCGGTGTGTTGTTTGGCATCTGGTTGTCCTAGGAACGCCGCGTCGCCGTAAGCTCGGCCAATCAAAATGAGTTTGAACCATGACGTCACCTGCCGGTACAATCCAAATCTCTTCTTCACCTCACAGCTTCATGTTTACCAGATTCATTTTAAACGTAGCCTGCTGTTTGACTAGGGCAGGCTATCTATAATGTACGTATGTATGAAGTCAAACATTATCAATTGTCAAAAACTAGTAAATGTTTTTGATTTCCTCCCCTTTTCCTAATATTTGTTTTAGCATTTTTTGTATTTGTATGCAATGAAATGAAATACATGTACTGAATATTTTTTAATGAAAAACTGGAACAAAGAAATGTCATTTTAGAAATGTATCATATTTCCCGATAATGTTCAAAAAATAATCTTGTATTTTCAATTTTCAAATGTAGTGATAATTAATGAACATTTTATATGAGTAATGCACTCAATTTGTGATTTGGTTATGTGTGTTTTACAGAATTTCGATCTTCAATAAAACTTGCAATTATGTTGCAATTTTGAGAAAGCTGTTGTAACTGAATTCAAATGTGTGCGAGTCACTCTTTTAGTCCTTACTTAAATGTAAATGTTTACATGTGTTACATGTGTGTAAATATGAGCTTTATTAGCACCGCAGTGCACTGTGAATCTAGCAGTGAAATTCTTTATCTCTTTGATTGTTCAATAAGGGGGGAAAACATGTCCTTTACATCAGTGATGCATCGGAGCAACATTCAGATAAATAACACTCAAAGCGTCAGACCTTTTGTATTAAAACTGTATTTACATAAAGAACAGGTAAGCATTAAACCAGGGGTTTTAGCTCTCGGTGAACACAATATATTCAAACAAATGTCAAAAGCTCTGGAATACATTTACAGTGCCATCGTAGACAAAGATGCATTTACAGATGTCCTCTACAAATTCTGTATATACAAGTGAAAACCCTTTTTAAAAAGCTATGAAATAACTTTTGAAATATTGAGTCAAAGTGAACAGGTTATCCAGAGCTACAGGGACTTTTCTTTTTAAACTGTTGATGCAAAAATACAAGGAATCCTCCATCAACAGGCAGCTGTAACATAAGTCTCATGCTGAGTACCTCCACAAAAAGTAACATGTTCACCTTTCTTTCACAAGCTGGCACTTTCACATCATTTAAAAGTAAGACAACAAATTAAACTTAATTATAATGGTATTCACATATTATTCTGCTCAATCCTCACACAGTTGTGGTTACTTTTTCACACTATACCCTCTACCATTTCTTAATTATCTGTTAACCAATACATTTCCAACATAATTTTTCTAAGGGAATAACATCTCAAGCTAGACATTTCTATACATGTCCGATATATTTCTTAAAAACAATTTTCTGACTGTTGACACACGTTTCTCTGTCCAGAAAAAGGCATTAAAACATTTTAGTATTTATTATTTTGATGGGAAGACAGAATTGAAATTGTATGAATAAATCCCCAGAAACAACTTGAGCATTTGCCACTGAGTGAGTTTCACAATCAGTTGTCATCTGACAATTTAGTCCTTTTTCTCAACCAAGCAAATCATAAATAATCTTAACTGTCCTTAAAAAGCTGAGCCACAAACATCAACGTTAATGATGTTAAGAATGACAATACTTGATTATATGGCTTTTAGGGCAACAAAGAAGACTTTAATTATTGTATTTTTTCTATAAAAAAATACTAAGATACTCAACATCCTTTTAGGAAATGGTATTTTAACAGAAGATTTATTTATATTTCCGTTGTTGGATTGGACTTTGCTTAACACATGAACCTAGAGGGGAATGGTGGAAAATACCAGCAGCAAAGCACCATTTTCATATTTTTCTATATTAAAGAAAACAATGCCAAGGTCTGACTGATGGACTCTTAATTAAATACCTAGCTATACATGTGTTAGTTGGTGTAGAGGTTCATTCTGATTTGGTTGGTTGTTCCCTCGTCTCATGCTCAGGGAGCTGCTCACTTTCTTTCAGGCTCTCAGAGTTACACACTGACTCTGATGCACAGGAAGACGATACAGCGGGCAGCAACAAGTGTCCTTCAGAGGAACCTTCAACCACACTGATTTCTGTGGAAGCCTTTTCGCTATCACCTGCTGGTACAATCGGCTCTGGTCTATCCGCAGTGGCGAAAGACAGACTTTCAACCACTTTCAAGTCCATTTCCTTTGGTGTTAAAACCGGCACCGTCGTCAAGAGATAGAACGATTTTGCTGGCTGCCTCAAGAAGAGATGACTGCAAGAAAGGAAGAGGACATTATTTTAAAGGAATCCTTTAGATTTACATGCAGCAATATGCTATTGTCACTTTGTAAGCAAAACACACTGCTAACAAAACTTATGAAATAGCGGTAGTGAAAATGTGTTAGCAAGCACTCTATCATTATTAAAACCAAAGAGGTTACAATGATGTAAAGGGCTGTAACCAACAAATATATCCATTATCGTTTAATCTGTCAAAGCACAGGTGATGTCTTTAAGGGTCTTTTTTTGACAGTCCAAAACCCAAAGATATCCACCTTAAGACACAGTATTAAACTGAGAAAAGCAGGAAATATACATTTTTGAGAGGATAAAAACAGCATACTCTTAAACAATTATAGTAATAGTTGGTGAATATATTTTCTGTTTATTGACTTTGGAACCTCTTTGTGTTGTTGAAGAAATGTGTCTTTATACCAATAATGGAATGGCTATTGGTCCAACAAGCATCACTGCCTGCTGGAAATATTCAAATTAAACAATTTATTGGCTGTATAAAAACAAGTTCTTTAATCACAGATAAAAAGAGTTTCATATGGTTAGTGAAAAGACAGGGAGCAACGTTGTAAAACAAAGCACTTCTAGTTCTGGACTTTCCCTTCAATCAGGCCACACAAAATGTGATTTACAGAGCCGATTTGTAGCAAAAGCAGAAGAAAAACATACAATTTAATTCCAGCGGGTTTTCGATTTGAGTAAATGTTAATTGGTCTTCAACATCTTTTGTGTTATGATTTATAGATTGGAGATAATCGAACGACAAGATGTAAAGTGGGTAGTAGTTTCTACTCACACTCGACCTTTGGCTTTGATATCTGCTGGGTTAAAAACAAAGGACAGCCTTTCAAGAAATGTGTCACACTAAACACGAGCCAGGCGTTATAGGTGAAAGGAAAACGTACCCTTTTCCTGAATGACTTTGCATATGTGATTTGGTTTGTCAGTTAAATGTCTGGTCATCAGGTCACCGCCTGATGCGTCCACGAGGAGGTCGCAGTTCAGACAGACCAGGGTTATTCTGGGGAATAAACAAACCGTATGTGATGTTTAATTTCAAACAGAAAACACTCTGTATTTAATGTTGAATGCAGAACAGACTTTATGAAGCGTACTTACTTTGAAGCCGATGAAGCCTTCTTCTGATTCATTTTCAAGAATCTGTTTTTGGTTATGGTACTATGAAATCTAACAAAGAGGAAAGACAAATATGTCAAACGATTAATCAGATGAAAACACTGTGTTAAACATAAGGTAACGTTTTTCTCTCACCTTATCATATGATTCCCAATGGCGACTTTGCAACTCGTCCGATATTTGCACGCACCGCAATTTGATATCATTGGGAAATGAGAAAAGAAGTGGTCCACTTGTGTGTTGCACTCGATGCACGTGAATTGTCCTGCATCGACTCTGAAATTTGGGCATTAAAAAAAAGAGAGAACAAAACACAAATATATTCAAGCATGGACGAGACAGACAATTACTAGAATAGCTGTTAGGATGTCACAGTTGGTTTATTGAAGCAGATGAACAAAGCAATAACCATTTACTTTGTTATTTATGAGAGGTCTGCAGGTTCTCTAAATTCTTCAGCTACATATTTTATCTTGTGATCTTATGGGTCATTATGTGACTTAAGATGGCATATTGTTTTTGATTACTGAGCGCAATTAGCCAAATATCCCACTCATTAGTTTAAGGAAAAGGAATAATCGCTATACTCTATATTATTTTTAGCCAGCCTAATGATAACAGTCAGGAAAATTAATAAAAAAGGTCATTAGCTCCTTTGTGTATTCCTATGCTTTAATAACACCTATTAATCTGCTTCCACCCGTCATGGATGACCAGGAGGTGGGGCCCTAAATTAGTGTTCAGTGGGGGGGGGGGGCATTAACGATTAGGATGGACATGCTAAAGATGATTATTTTATTGGGAAGGGATGGTAGTGCTAAAACGTTCTCATAATGTTTAAATTGTAAAAAAGTATACATTATAAGACCCTGTCTCTAACTCCCTGCACTCTTATGTTGAGATAAATATATCTGACAAAAGACAAAACACACTATACACAAAAAATAGATTTAACCGATAGCATTTTTATCATTATTGAGATTATATTTATTTAAATTCTCAATTGAGATAAAATCAATATCATAAATGATTTAAGCCACGCTAATCATGCGGTCAATATAAATATTTTTCAGTCTGTTGAAGCAAAGAATCGTGTTAAAGATGTCGTTCTTGCTGTCATGTCTCTGCCTGCTGTGTGTGAAGTTCACCTGATGTTCCTGAGCGACAGATTGTGTTTGTTGGACTGGAGATCTTTCTTCTTGCTCGTCTTGGCTTTTCCTGCAGAGACGTTTGACTTGGACTTGGATCCACTGACAGGAGGCTTGGTTTTTTGGTTGAAACTTTCTGGGGTGAAAACAAGGCTGGATGGATCAGTGGAGCAGTTCAGCGTTGGAGCCTTTCCTGTGAGGGACGCTCGAATGGTCACCTGGAAGAAAAACACAATGCACATTCAAATTAAATTGTATATTTTTAAGAATAGTAAACAGATCTTAAATAAATGTTGTAGGGTCACACCTTGGTTCCTGGAGGAAGACCTTCCAGAGCTTTGGGTTTTTTAAAGGTTTTGTGGACGTTATTCTTGTGATCCAGTTTCTCCCTGTGTGTGAGAAAATTCA